TTTATTGGGTGCAATCTAACACAACATAGCATGAAAAGCTTTCTCTCTGCGGGATGTAAAGATGTGATTAAATTATATTGGCCAGTCTTAGCTCCCAAGGAGGATGGCCACTTATCAGAGATCTGTTTCTAATTTGGCACTAACTCAGCAAAATAACACCCTCCCCTCAAAGGAAGGCTGGTATGGAAGAAAAGGGGGAGAGGAAATCATAGTGGTGAGTTAGGGGTGCTCTTTGAAGCTGGAAATAAAAGTAATAATAATTTTGGATAATGCAAACTGAGCCAAGTGCATTTGGGGTAGTGCCCATAACATCCAAAACATCTCAAAAGCAATTGGTAAAGTTCCTGTAAAGTGCAGTGACTGTGTATTTGTAAGGAAACACCGCAGTCAATTTGCACATACCAGTTTAGCACAAACAGTAATTAAGTAAATGACCAATCTTACCTGGAGGAATGTTACTGGACCAGTACTCTTATATCTGAGCTGTGCTACGCCCGACCTGGGAGAGCTTTTGATGCCAACAGGGTGAGAGAATAAAAACAGTAGAATGTTGTTAACAGTATGATTTAGGTTGACAGTCTAATGACAATCTGCATACAGAATATTTTTAATTTTATTGGAAGGGTGGTTGGCTATAAATTATTTAGCATATATTTCCATTCACCCGTAAATAATTTTAATCGTTGCCAATCCTCTTCTGCGTGTTAACATAATGATGTAAATGGTCACCATGGCTTAAAGGGGCTGCTTAGGCCCTAGAGGCAATGTAGAGGAGAGCAAGAGGATGATCCCCAGTGTCACAGTAACACACTTGAGCAATGATTAGACTGGCTAGGGCTCTAGAAGATAATTCAGAGAGGACATTATAAAGGTATATAATAAATGCAAGTTGCTGTTGTTATACTTTTGGATGCACCAAGACAATGACACCACATTACATTTGTATAGCACCTTTCACGTTGGGAGGACATCCGAAGGCGCTGTCCGAAGACAGTAAAACAGGAGGACATAGGTTTAGAGAGCAATTTCAGGACAGACACCAGGAAGTATTTCTTTACACAGAGGGTAATTAATGACTGGAACAGGTTGTTAGGAAGGGTGGTTTAGGCCAGGACTCATTTAAACATACTGCTATGATGAGAGAATGGTAGGATTGGTATTTTGGAACAATGAGATTCAATAGGTTGAAAGGCCCTTTTCATCTAAACCTTTCTTGTGATCTTGTGTGAAATCATTTGCTTGAGGTTTGCTAATCACTGTTTTCTCTCACCTATATGGCTGTTTGTTTTGTATGAAGAAGGAATTTGTGAAGATCTGAAAATGGTTTCAAACATTGATCATGGCCCAAGCCAAATGCTGTAATTTTCCTAATTACACAAAATTCAGGAAATTCATCTGTGTTTTCTCTGTTATATTTCAAAGACCAGATTTGAATGCATTGCGGTTTAGTGCCTTGAGTGTGAGAGGGTAGGAGTTATCAAGAAACACGTTTATGTTGGTGGTGGCTCGGCCTCTCCCGAAGCTTGCTTCAATGCCCTTGATAGTCAGGAAGGGCTGCCACATTTGCCTACAGTCACTACACTTGATAACAATTCCCTGTGAAGTGCTTCAAAATGTGTTTTGACATTGTAGCCGCTGTATTAAATGTAAGGATTATTATTATTTATTGTCAGTTAGAACCATGTCCACTGGGTAAAATCATGTTTAAATTGATGCTCAAAACATGCCATCACATTACAACTGACCTCGCATTTATTTTATAAACGTAATGGATTTTCAAGGACACACTACAATCTTGAGGACACTGCTGAGGTATTCCAACTGATGTTAATGGATGGGATAAATGCATTCTATAGCAGTTGATAGGTTTCAAGTACAGTTGATGTTCAAGAAAAATTAGCAACTATTTCTGTGCCTATTACATTTTCATTTTGAAATTATCACTTGACATTTTTGGATGGTTTAGAATAATACTAACCATTTCATTTCATGCAGTGCATTATTACATGGAAGAAACATCTCAAAATATTTTACAGTATTTACTGTAGAGTGTAGTGACTGTATTTTTATAGCAGTGGCCTATGAATAATCATCCTTGCAATTGGTATAACACTTTTCAAGTTGAGAGAATGTCCCAAAGCGCTTCACAGGATTTATTGAGAAGTGGAGTGACTATGTATTTGTGGATGAATGCTGCAAACAATTTGTGCACAGCAATGTCCCTCAAATTAATGACCATTTTTATTTGAGGGATTGTTGGCCAGGCAAAACTTCCTTCTCTTTTCAAGTAGTGCCATGGGATATTTAAGGGACAGATTTTCAAAGAGCTGGCATAGACTCGATGGGCCGAATGGCCTCTTTTTGCGCTGTACGATTCCATGATTCTGTGATTCTATGATTCTATGGGACTGCGATATTAATGTCATATCCGAAGGATGGCACCTTCGACAATGTAACACAATCCCAGCACTGAATTACAGTGTCAGCTCAAAGTCCCAATGTGGTTTCTGAAAATCTCTGATGAGCATTACCTAACTTTATTAATGTTAAATCCTCCTGGCAATTCAAGACAAATATTAAATATCACTGGATTCAAGTTCGGGCACATTTTCAATAATGCTGCACTGCCAAAGCATCAGTCCTGATATTTCCTATCATGAATGATCTGCTTATTTCTGAAACTAGCTAACCATGCACACCTAAGAGGATCAGCTCTTTAAACAGACTTGACTCAATATCTGCAGTGAAAATGTTACAAAATTTATAAAAGGATTGTGGTAAAAGAGTCCCACCGACAGACAGTCATATTTATACATTTCAGTTCCTTGTGAGATTTTACATTTCATCCTTCACACAATCAAAAGAATAGATTCCATAATTACTGCCAAGCAAGCAGAGCCATGGCATATCATTAAACTATATACCATTTGTTGATTTATATAGATTAATAGGAATTAGTGCATTGACATTCAGCACCGATAAGGTTCATTATTTCAATGTTGTCTACGGGGAATACATTTCCAGATGACTCACATGTAAATTTTTAATTAGTTAGAAACTACAAGTGTGCTAAATACAAATTAATTTTATATTTGCAATAATTCACCATTCCATAAGCAAGGTTTTTTTTTGCAACATGAAATTTTACTGCTCTTAGAAAGAGTGCTTCCTTTCTCCACTTTGTTGCCTCTAACGGTTTCTCCTCCAGCCCCCGCACTGTCACGTCTGACGTCCCCCAGGGCTCTGCCCTTGTCTCCTCTTTAATATCTACATGTTCCCCCTTGGTGATATCATCCACAGACATGCGGTCAACTTCCATATGTACGCGGATGACACCCATCTCTATCTTTCTGCCCCCACCCTCAACTCCGGACCACTGCTGTCCTGACAGACTGTCTGTCGGACATCAAGTCCTGGATGAGGGCAAATTTCCAGTTGAATGTGAACAAGACTGAGGCCCTCCTGATTGTCTCGCGCAGCGCCTCCGCACCTCAGGCTCTGGCAGCATCAACCTCCATGGTTTCACGCTTCAACTCACCAGCCAGTCAGCCTCGGTGTCTTGTTTGACCCTCAACTCTCTTTTCTCCCACACATCCAAGCCATGACCCGCTCTGCCTTCCCTCACCTCCGTAACATTGTGCGACTCTGCCACTACCTCACCCCTCAGGCCACTGACATTCTTGTTCACACCTTCATCACCTCCAGGCTCGACTATGCAAACGCCCTGCTTGTCGGTCTTCCCAACTCCTCCCTCCACAGGCTGCAGATAACGCAGAACTCAGCAGCCCGTGTCCTCTCCCGCACCAAACTCCGTGACCTCATCTCCCTCATTCTCACCCAACTCCATTGGCTCCCTATCCTTCAGAGGATCCAGTTCAGGATCCTGGTCCTCACCTACAAAGCCCTCAATGGCCTCACCCCACCCTACACCCTACTTCTGCCACCTCCAAACCCCCTACCAACCCGCCCGCTCCCTCCGCTCAGCTGGCTCCGGCTGCTCCATGTTCCCCGACCCACCCGCCCACCATTGGAGGGAGAGCCTTCAGCCACTCTGCCCCCAACTTCTGGAATTCCATTCCCCAGTCACTCCACCTCGCCCCCTCCTTAGCCTCCTTCAAGTCCCGCTTCAAGACCCTCCTCTTCGACTATGCCATCGGCCACCCCCCTTCCCCTCCCCTCTCTCCCCTGACCCCAGCTCGGGTCTGAAATGCTATACACTGTCCAGCGCCTTGGGACATCCTTCCGACATGAAAGGTGCTATACACATGTAATCTTGTTGTTATTGTTGTTGCTTTAGCTGTCTGCATTTCCTTACTGAGCATTTGCAGGACTGGGTTTTAGCATGGTGAAAATATGAGTGTTCTTAGTGTAATAATTGCATTATATTTGGTGTTGGTATTTATATAGCACCTCTCACATAGAGTAATGTTTCTAATAATGTCCCAGCCTCCAAGATAGTTTCAAAGTCCAAACACCTTATTTTGCTGCCTGTGCCTGTTTCGGCAGATGTATGGAACGTGTTATAATCTAACGAGATCAGGGAAATAAATGACATCCATTGGAAATTCTGTTTAATGCAATCTGGAAGATAAGAATCCACCAACATCAGCAAAGCATGGCGTGACAATGGATTGGAAAATATTTCAAATTAGAAATTCTAGTCATCAAACTCATACTGGTGACTAACTCATGACAATCCTCGTTGTGGGGTAGGTAAACAGGGTCTCCTTGGAACTGAGTTTAGCTGGCTCGAAAGTGACATGTTTGGCAATGAAATGTCAGTTCTCTGTGATGGTGTTGGTAATCCAGGGTTCCTGAGCCAGACAGGACCGCAGTTCTCCAGGGCACTGCTGATGACAAACCATTATACTCTATTACCTGCTGAATGTAGAGTATTTTTGCTTAATGAGTGTTTTTGTTTACTATATTATTTTTTAAAAAGTCAATAACATATTTCCACTCAACATATGCTAATGCAAACACTTTAATTTTTACTGCAGCCCGAGGAGCTTACAAACGCCCTGGAGATCAGTAACATCGTGTTCACCAGCATGTTTGCAATGGAAATGATCCTCAAACTTCTAGCATTTGGTCTCTTTGACTACATTAAGAATCCATACAATATCTTTGATGGAATTATAGTCATTATCAGGTAAATTTGCAACGTGTGAGATGTTTTTGTTTATTTTTCTCCTGTGTAGATGGACACTCCAGGAATGAAACATTCCACCTGGGTCTCGGCTTCAACCTTTTTTCTTGGCAATTTCGATTTCAGAGCTCGCACATTTTGAACAATTCTTATATTTTAATTTTGATGCTGGTTTTCTGCAAACTCTTTTCAGAAATACAAAATTAATATTACATTTAAGAATTGTCCAAAATTTGCACAATCTGAAAAGCTAAGAGTTCGAGTTTGACCCGGGCGGAATTGCACGCCTTGGGGAGTGTGATTAAGCAAACTGGGCGCTGCCCTGTGTGAGGGGAGTTATATAAATGAAAGTTGTTGTTGTTGATTATAATAGTGGCAAATTACAAGTTATTTGAATTTGACAGATTACAATGGAACGCATGTGAAAGAAACACTGGGATTAGCAACACAATGAGTTCTGTATTATCAAAACCATTCCTGTGAAACAATTGATTTTTATGTTTTCAAATGGGTTGATTTTTGGGGGTTTGTCGTATGCATTAAATGGATTTTAGATCCATTTTATTCTTCAACTCTTAATTTGGAAGCCGATTTATTTTTAAAATCTGCGAAATACCAGCTTCCAAATTAAGACCAAATTGAAGAAACTTCTCCCATCCTCATAATCTGGAAACTATTTTGAGATTAATGCGGAAAACGGGCTAAGGCTTGGTGGAATTTTGGGCCTCTGGTATTCCGTTGAACATTCTCAAGAGGAAATGTGTGATAAACAACCTTTCTCCCTGTTTGTTATTAGCGTGTGGGAAATTATTGGGCAAAATGATGGCGGCCTTTCAGTGCTAAGAACGTTCAGGCTCCTCCGAGTCTTGAAGCTGGTGCGTTTCTTGCCTGCATTGAGACGCCAGCTCGTGGTCCTGATGAAAACGATGGACAACGTGGCCACCTTCTGCATGCTGCTCATGCTCTTCATATTTATCTTCAGGTAATCAGAGCAAGCCTTTTGTGCATGGTAATTAAGTGCAATTTGTTTTTGCATCTCAGCTAATTTAATTTTGCTCAACCTGCTTTTTATTTGGGCTTTTTTTTAAAAAATCATTAGTGGTTACGATCTCAGTCATACGAGACTTCTTTTTGTTCGTGCTTACGGTCATCTCCCTCTCCCCTTGGCTCAGCATCAGACTCCGCCACTGTCAAGCGCTCCGGGATGCTACCCAACGTGAAGAGCGCTATTATAAATGCAAGTTGTTGTTGTTCTTTGGCCCACAGTATTCTAGGCATGCACCTGTTTGGATGTAAATTCAGCTTGACGACTGAGAATGGGGACACGATCCCAGACAGAAAGAATTTTGATTCCTTATTGTGGGCAATTGTCACCGTATTTCAGGTGAGATTTCTGTTCTCGAAAACAATATGTTATTGCTGCTACTGCTGCTGTAATGCCCACAGAGATAGGATAATTGAGACTGAATTTTTAAGCAAACCGTTCGCAGCTCTACTCTTCTAACTTCTGTGAGGAACGATGGGTTTTGTTTTATAATGGGATCACGCTCAAGTGAACTTTATAATGTAATTTACCCACTTCTGTGTTGCTGCAGTGTAAAACTTTTTTAAAACAGCCATCGGTATCTGCTGAGCTGGTGTGTGCTTAATTAAAGTGATGTATCTGCTGAGCTGGTGTGTGCTTAATTAAAGTGATGAGTGACCTTAACGTTCATCCGCTGATGACATTCTTCTGCGCCAAATCCTGCTGTTGATAATTGCTGTGGGCAAGATTGTCCAGGGTATTAACATAAGGATGTTAATGTGTAGCTCAATGGTTAGAGCACTCGGCTTGCAAGCGAGAGACCTGGGTTCGATTCCTGGCAGGGCAAAACCTTGGGCAAGTTTCCTTTCTCTACACGCCTGATAATAATCGCTCAAGGAAATAAATAAAATAACAATTTGGTCACTCAATCCACGACTGTCTGTGGGACGCTGCTGTGCGCATTTGTCTGCAGCGTTTTGCCCACAAATATACGGCCAATTCACTTTGCAGTATATTCTGTGAAGCGTTTTGAGGATTATTATTATTTACTCTTAATGCAGGTTTTACCAGAGCAGTAAATGTAAAAACAGGCTTTAAGTATTCCCAAAGAATATTTTCATTAAAGCCTGGGCATGATGCTTTCTCATTTTGCTCATCCAGAATTAGTACTTGCTAACAGCTGCACAAACCATTAAGGCTTTTGCGCCAATGACTCCCTTTGGGTCTCGCAAATAAAGAGGAAGAAGAATATTGAAGAGTTGCGGATTCTTTGCAGCTTTATTCAAATAACAATGTGGCCTCTTTTATCCACAGATCCTTACTCAGGAGGATTGGAATGTAGTGCTGTATAACGGAATGGCTTCCACTTCACCTTGGGCTGCCCTCTACTTTGTGGCATTGATGACTTTTGGCAACTATGTACTGTTTAACCTGCTCGTTGCTATTCTTGTGGAAGGCTTCCAAGCAGAGGTAGGTCTCCTATACTTGGGCAAACTTTATTACCTTTTGCTTTGAAGAGGCTCCAGCAGTAAAGATCGTAATATGGGGGGATAGGATGGACACCTTCTTCAAGCAGCTAACTGACACTGAGGTGAAAAACTGGGCCGAGTGGCCTCCTACTGTGTTGTACATTTCTGGGGTTCAATGTATACCAATTCAACCATTAACTTTCAACTTGCCTGGTAGAGGAGTATTGCATGTGTGATAATACACTGAATAGGAAAGCATAATGAAGAGAATGGGCTGCAGTTCACACTAACCACTTAGGAAGAGAGCTTTTCGGAAAACAACTGTTTAAACAGTTGAAACTTTAATAGAACTGCACACACACCATGCTGAAGCACTCCCCATATGCAAATACAACAACAACAACAACAAGATTCCATTTATAGAGCGCCTTTCACATCGGGAGGACGTCCCAAGGCGCTGTACAGTTGGGTCAGGACCCGAGCATTGGGGGGAAATGGTCAGGGGGAGAGGAGGGAAGGGAGGGGGCGAGGAGGGGGGAAATGGTCAGGGTGAGGGGAGGGAAGGGAGGGGGCGAGGAGGGGGGAAATGGTCAGGGTGAGGGGAGGGAAGGGAGGGAGCGAGGAGGGGCTAGAGAGTCGAGAGGGGAGCTGAAGGTTCGGTCAAAGAGAAAGGTCTTGAGACCGGCCTTGAAGGAGGAAAGGGAGGAAGCGGAAAAGGCACTGGGGGATAGAGTTTCAGAGCCTCGGGGCTGAGAGGCTGAAGGCCCGGCCACCAATGGTAGGGCGGTTGGGGCGGGGGATGTGGAGCAGACCGGAGCCAGAGGAACGGAGGGTACGGGCGGGTAGGTAGGGGGATAGTAGGTCGGAGAGGTAGGAGGGAGCGAAGCCGTGAATGGCCTTGTAGGTGAGGATGAGGATCTTGAATTCGATCCTCTGGGGGATGGGGAGCCAGTGGAGGCGAGCGAGGGCGAGGGTGGGTGTGATGTGGTCTCGGTGTCTGGTGCGGGACAGTACACGAGCTGCAGAGTTCTGAATGATCTGCAGTGTGGAGGGAGGGCCGGGAAGGCCGGCGAGGAGAGAGTTCCCATAGTCCAGCCTTGAGGTGACAAAGGCATGGACCAGGGTTTCAGCCGCGTGAGGGGTGAGGGAGTGCCGTAGTCTGGCGACGTTCCGGAGGTGATGGAAGGCGGTGCCGGTTGTGGTGCGGATATGAGGGAGAAAGGACAGCTCAGGGTCGAACAGAACCCCGAGGTTCCTGATGGCTTTGAGAAGTGGAGAGTGCGGCCTTGGATGCTGATGGTGTCAGCACCTGAGGTGCGGAGGTGCTGACGGAGCCAATCAGGAGGGCCTCAGTTTTGCGCACATTGAGCTGAAGAAAGTTGTCTCTCGTCCAGGACTTGATGTCGGACAGACAGCTGTCAGGACATCGGGGGTCGTGGAGTTGAGGGTAGAGGAGGAAAGGTAGAGTTGGATGTCATCCGCATACATGTGGAAGCTAACCCCATGTCTGCGGATGATGTCACCACAGGGGGAGCATATAGAGGGTGAAGAGGAGGGGACCGAGGACAGAGCCTTGAGGGACACCGCACGAGACAGCGCGGGGGGTGGAGGGAAAACCATTCGTGGAAACAAAGTGAAGACGGTGGGAGAGGTACGACCTTAACCACTCAAGGATAGGGCCTTGAAGGTTGAGGTGGGAGGACAAGCAGTGGAGGAGGATAGCGTGGTCGACCGTATCGAATGCTGCCGATAGGTCGAGGAGGACGAGGAGGCAGATTATTGATGATATCATTAGACAAACAACAGCAACAACAAAATTACATTTATGTAGCGCCTTTCACGTCAGTTACGGACCCGGGCTAAGTGTTGGGGTGGGGGAGGGGGGAGGCAGGGAGAGCGAAAGCACGGTCGAAGAGAACGGTTTTGAGGTGGGTCTTGAAGATGGCGAGGGAGGGGGCGAGATGGAGGGACTGCGAGATGGAGTTCCATAGGGTGGGTGCAGAGTGGCGGAAGGCCCGCCCACCGATAGTGGGGCGAGCGAGGCGGGGGACGTGAAGCAGGCCAGAGCTCACTGAACAGAAGGAGCTAACAGGATGGTAGGGGGTTAGGAGGTCGCAGAGGTAGGGGGGAGCAAGACCATGGAGGGCTTTGAAGGTGAGGATCTGGATCTCGAACTGTATCCTCTGTGTGATGGGAAGCCGGTGGAGTTAGGCAAGAATGGGGGGGGATAGGATCACGGAGCCTGGTGCGGGAGAGGACACAGGCTGCAAAGTTCTGGATGATCTGCAGCCTATGGAGAGAGGAGTTGGGGAGGCCGACAAGCAGGAAGTTAGCATAATCGAGCCTCGATGTAATGAAGGCGTGTATGAGGGTTTTATCGGAAGACGAAAGTAGTCAGCTCCATATATATGAAGTAACCTCTTGTCTTTTTACGCTAAGACAAATAATAATCATTCTTGTATTTGGTACAGCGCCTTATCAGATCATTGATACGTCTCAAACTGCTTCACAGGATGCATGGTAAAGTGTAGTGACTGTGTATTTAGTAAATACCTACTCAAAGACAAATACCCTGCAGTCTTGTGAAGTATAATCGAAAGCTTAACACGTACTCACTGATGTTATAAACTTGCTATGCTGTTGCTTAAATAAAAATGAGTCAAGGTAACACGTTTAGTTGGTTTGCCACTTGACGTTTCCATTAGTCTGATTTTTGCAGCAATTGTTCACAACAATATGTAATCATGTGTTACAAAAAAAAGCTGAGAATTATTGAACCTCCCATTTAGAAAATTTCATATCGTGAATCTGACAGGTTTGTATCAGGAATCCTGTCAGCTTTGATCCATACCTCACACTAACAGATTTTTTTTGCCAGCTGTCCATTCCTTTTAACATGGGTTCATTAAAAGCTATTGAATCACTTGACAATACGTTTACAGCTGCTAGTGCAGAATAAACCCACATCATAAAAGAGTTTCTCATCTTATCTAATTTGAGCAACACAAATCTTATATTAAAAAGACCACATCATTGAAAATCACAGCCTCCTGACAACTGCAGCTCACAGTCTCTGACTGATTCTTCATTTTGCTCAGCTTTAGCCAACTGTCTTTTTCTGGCTGCAATATAGCTTTCTCTTGATTGTGCAGAAAGAGCAAACATGTGGCATCTTCTACAGGGAGTTGAACAGTTCAGTCTCTTTGTTGTTCTGTTAACCATTTCTTTATCTCTCCTCATTAACATGCTTAAAATGCTCGGGTCCAATACTCTGTCTGTCGAGTTCCTTGGGACGTCCTCCCGATGTGAAAGGCGCTATACACATGCAACTTGGTGGTGTTTGTTGTTAAAATATTTGTGATTGTATACAGTGCTTATAGTTCTTCAGTTGGTGCCCTCAGTCCGGTTGGTGCCCTCAGTGCGGTTGGTGCCCTCAGTGCGGTTGGTGCCCTCAGTGAGGTTGGTGCCCTCAGTGCGGTTGGTGCCTCAGTGCGGTTGGTGCCCTCAGTGCGGTTGGTGCCTCAGTGCGGTTGGTGCCATCAGTGCGGTTGGTGCCCTCAGTACGGTTGGTGCCCTCAGTGCGGTTGGTGCCTCAGTGAGGTTGGTGCCCTCAGTGCGGTTGGTGCCCTCAGTACGGTTGGTGCCCTCAGTGCGGTTGGTGCCCTCAGTGCGGTTGGTGCCCTCAGTGCAGTTGGTGCCCTCAGTACGGTTGGTGCCCTCAGTGAGGTTGGTGCCCTCAGTGCGGTTGGTGCCCTCAGTGCGGTTGGTGCTCTCAGTGCAGTTGGTGCCCTCAGTGCGATTGGTGTGGTTGGTGCCCTCAGTCCAGTTGGTGCCCTCAGTGCAGTTGGTGTGGTTGGTGCCCTCAGTGCGGTTGGTGCCCTCAGTGCAGTTGGTGCCTCAATGCAGTTGGTGCCCTTAGTACGGTTGGTGCCCTCAGTGCGGTTGATGCCCTCAGTGCGGTTGGTGCCCTCAGTGCGGTTGGTGCCCTCAGTGCGGTTGGTGCCCTCAGTGTGGTTGGTGCCTCAATGCGGTTGGTGCCCTCAGTGCAGTTGGTGCCTTCAGTGCGATTGGTGTGGTTGGTGCCCTCAGTCCAGTTGGTGCCCTCAGTGCGGTTGGTGTGGTTGGTGCCCTCAGTGCGGTTGGTGCCCTCAGTGCAGTTGGTGCCTCAGTGCAGAGTGATCCTTTACGATGGGATCATTGCATTTGTCCACTTCTTCGATTCTCTTCTCTTGATCGTAGCCCCACATAGGGACTTGAACCTGTAGTCCTTGTTGACTATCGTCAAGCTGGTATTGGGGGAGTGCAACACTGTTGGAATTGCTGTCCTTTGGATTAGACACTAATTTGGAGCTCCATGTGGATCTTTGGGTGTCCTTCTACTCCAAGGTTATCTTGGAGGCAAAGGACAACCCCCAGCTTCTGTTTTCCACCACAAACCGACTCCTCCGTCCACCTTCCCATGCCTCGGTCATCCTCTCCTCAAACTCCAACTGTGAGGAGATACGGATTTCCTCGAAACCAAAATCGAGGGGATACGTTCAGCCACCTCTGCCCGTCCACAGCCACCCCCACATCACCTCTCCCTCATGACCCTCCCCCCCCTATACTCCTTCGACTCTATCTCTCCCTCCTCCCTCTCCGCGATTGTTCGCAAACTCAAACCCACCACCTGCTCCTTCGATCCATCCCCACCTCTCTCCTCATCTCCCAGCTCCACCTTCTGGCCCCTCTCCTGTCCAACGTCATCAACTGCTCCTTGTCCACTGGTTCAGTTCCCACACCCTAAAAACAGCCGTCATCACCCCCATCCTGAAAAAACCTTCTCTGGACCCATGCCTCCTCTCCAGCTCCCGCCCCATCTCTAACCTCCCATTCCTCTCCGAGATCCTGGAACGAGTCGTCGTGTCCCAGCTCCGCTCTTTCTCTCTCACCATTCCCTCTTTGAACCCCTCCAATCCGGCTTCCGCGCTGCCCACAGCACAGAAACAGCCCTGGTCAAAGTCACTAATGACATTCTGAACATCTGTGATCAGCGCTCCCTCTGCCTCCTTGTCCTCTTCAACCTCTCTTCCCCCTTCGACATTGTCGACCACTCCATCCTCATACACCGCCTCTTCTCTTTATTTAATCTTCACTGACCTGCCCTTGCCTGGATCAAATCCTATCTCTTTCACCGTCTCCACTTTGTTGACTCTAACGGTTTCTCCTCCAGTCCCCGCACTGTCACGTCTGGCGTCCCCCAGGGCTCTGTCCTTGGCCCTCTCCTCTTTAATATCTACATGCTCCCCCTTGGTGACATCATCCGCAGACATAGGGTCAACTTCAATATGACACCCAACTCTCTCTTTCTGCCTCCACCCTCAACTCCGGACCACTGCTGTCCTGACAGACTGTCTGTCGGACATCAAGTCCTGGATGAGGGCAAACTTCCTACAGTTGAATGTGAACAAGACTGAGGGCCTCCTGATTGGCTCACACCAGCGCCTCCGCACCTCAGGCTCTGGCACCATCCACCTCCATGGTTGCACACTTCAACTCACCAGCCAGTCAGGAACCGAGGTGTCTTGTTCGACCCTCAACTCTCTTTTCTCCCCCACATCCAAGCCATGACCCGCTCTGCCTTCCCTCACCTCCATAACATCGTCCGACTCCCCACTACCTCACTCCTCAGGCCACTGAAACTCTTATTCATGCCTTCTTCACCTCCAGACTCGACTATGCAAATGCCCTACTTGTCGGCCTTCCCAACTCCTCCCTCCACAGACTGCAGATAATCCAGAACTCTGCAGCCCGTGTCCTCTCCTGCACCAAACTCCGTGACCCCATCTTCCCCATTCTCACCCGACTCCATTGGCTCTCGATCTTTCAGAGGAACCAGTTCAAAATCCTGGTCATCACCTACAAAGCCCTCAATGGCCTCGCCCCACCCTACCTCTGCCACCTCCAAACCCCCTACCAACCCGCCCGCTCCCTCCGCTCAGCCGGCTCTGGCTGCTCCAAGTCCCCCGACCCACCCACCCCACCATTGGGGGGACAGCCTTCAGCCACTCTGCCCCCAACCTCTAGAATTCCATCCCCCAATCACTCCGCCTCGCCCCCTCCTTAGCCTCCTTCAAGTCCCACCTCAAAACCTTCCTCTTCGACCATGCCATCGGCCACCCCCCTTACCCTCCCCTTCCCTCTTCCCCCTGACCTCAATTTGGGTCTGAAATGCTGTACCCTGTCCAGCGCCTTGGGACGTGAAAGGCGCTATACAAATGTAATCTTGTTGTTGTTGGATGACACTGGGAAGAGAAGGGAATTTCTACTGTTCTCCTGCTTTCCGCCATTTTCGGTTGTTCACCACATACCTGTTTGTGGATTTGCTATGTACAATATAAATATACAGTCAGCAATTAGCTACAAAGCACTTTAAAACGTTTCAAAGTTACAGACACTATGAAACATGCAAGGATTATTTATTTACATTCGAAATGCACAATATGCTTATTCCAGGGTGATGCCAATCGATCAGATACAGACGAAGACAAAACATCTGCTAATTTTGATTATGAGTCCGAGAGGTTGAAAGAGCCTTCCACAGGTAAGCAGTTAATATGCATAATTCTTTACTGTCGCGCTTGCACCTTTCCAAATCAGCAGATTCCTGAGTTTTCCACTCCAATCTGAGATCTACCTTGGTTGCTCAATTGGTAGCATTCTTGCCTCTGAATCACAAGGTTGTGGGTTCACGCCCCACATTGAGACTTTGAACTCGCATAGTCCAGGCTAACACTGCACTCTGTCGGAGGTGCTGTTGAGTTGAGATGTTCACCTGTGTTTAGAGGCACAGTAAAGATACAGAATTGGCTGATGCATTCACCCTCAAGATACACATTCACTGCATTTGTGGAGTCCTGTAGCTCAGTGGTTAGAGCACTCGCCTCGCAAGCAAGAGACCTGGGTTCAATCCACGACTGTTTGTGGGACGCTGCCTGTGCATAATTCGTTGCCATTTTTCACCCACAAAATATACAATCAATTCACTTTACAGTATATTCCATGAAGCGCTTTGAGACGTCTTGAAGATGTGATAAGGCGCTATATCAAATGCAAGGATTATTGTTATAATTTTGCAGTAAAACCTTTCAAGCACTTGAAGGCTTTCCCCCAATGTGAAAGGCACGAAAAGAGATGCAAGAATTATTGTTGTTTATTATCATTATTGTATTAATATTCCCTTCTGCAGAATTAAAAATGTATTCAGTAGTCATGACACCAAACGGACACTTGGATTCCCGAAGCAGCATTGCGCCTCCGATTATCCTCCGCACGGCAGCTACCCCCATGCCTATCCCAAAGAGTTCCTTGTATATGGATTCAGTTCACACTTACGTGGAGAGTCGAAGAGGCAGCAGTGCTTCGATTGATCCTATAAATTATGACCAGAGATCTTTGGTGAGTGCGGATTGCGAGGGTTGCTGTTTGTTAACTTTGGCAAAACTGTAAAACTGGTTTTACGTTTTAGATATATTGAGTGATATTTGCCACATTTATTTCGTCCTTTTTATTATCTTATTATCTTACAATTTGCTCTCAGGAGTAAGTGAATTTCAAGCGAATGCTGGATATCTTGAATGTAGGCACTTTGAGCAAAGTTACCACAAAATGTTAAACAGATGATAATTTTGAAACAATTACGTTGTCTGTGAAAGAAATCAGTCATGTAGAGGATTAAATAAAATAACCCTCTGATGGGTACATCAACAACATCTTGCTTTTATACAGTGCCCTTCATACAGGGTAGTGTCTCAGAGCACTTAACAGTGACGCTGAGCCAGAGAGAGGGGAGAAGTGACCGTGGGCACAATCGAAGAGGAAGATCTTCAGACGTGAACTGAAAATGGGAAAGAGGGGGCAAAGTGGAGGGATTGAGGGAGAGAATTCCAAAGTTTCGGGGTGCAGTGGCTGAAAGCACGGCCGCCGATGGTGGAGTGGAGGGGATGAGAGACGAGCAGGAAGCCAGAGCCAGATGAATGGAGGCGGCGGCAAGTAGAGTGGGGAGTAAGCACGTCGGAGAGACAGGGAGATGCCATATCACAATATATATATAGATAATTATGTCATGAACCTGACTGTCAAAACCACTGAGTGATAGATTGACTGATAAAGTGGTTTTGAAGCACAGTCACAAGTGATGATTATCGTGAATCATCAGTGCCAAATACACAGTTGTGTACATATAAATATAAATGTGAATTGTACTGCAGGGTAGCTCTATATGAAATTCAATGTGGCTGAGCCTACAAAATGCATAGTAATGTTGAGAACTCAGGTGTGATATATTCCCCATCAAATATTGCACACGCTGCTTGTAAAAAAAATCTTTCACAAAGCACAAAGGGACAAGCTGGTCAACGGAAGGCTAATATCTATTTATCATACCAACATTCTTTTTTTTAAATTTGGTTCACCCTTTCAATTGATTTGTTTGTCAGTGATTTTGCATAAATTTGCTTCTTTATAACTGAGAAATGGTTCCTATAAATTTACATGAAATCATAGATCAATGAACCATATGAGTTTATATCTGCCTTTCTCTTTCTGTCTCTCTTTCTGTTTTGTTATCCATCTATCCTTTTTCTTCTACTGTTGAGTTTTCCAGTTCACCCAAAGTATCATTTTCCCATATTATTTCCTTTTGTCAATTTCAGTGTTTCTTATAAGGCACTTTGCACTAGCTCCGAATCTCTCTCTCTTACATTTACTCTATTTCTGTTTTATTCAACCTCCCATTTATTTTTTCTCTCTCTCCCTTGACCTCACATTTACTGATGCAGGGCAGGCCTCACTGAAATAAACATTTAGATGGGTGATTGACTTAAGTTAGAATCACAGCACGGTAAGCATCTAGCAGGAAAATAGGAGGTTTCTGTCCTTTTAAGATTTGTTATAAAACTAGATTGAATTAGTATGGTCGGCTGGAAATAGTCTTTAAAGACAAACGGTGCAGCTTCATTCTGTGACTCATGGGTATGTTCCTAGTAATTCCTATTATGTATCTCAGTCTTTAGCTCAATGCACATCAGCATTCACACAAATCATTTCCTTTCATAAACCACCAAGCTTAACCTTAAGCAGGATATTAAGTCAGCATCTTCCTTGTAGCTTTGTGTTTGTTTGTTGCTCAGTATACAACTACCTTTATTTCACAGTCCAGCGTCCGCAGTTCACCTAGCGCCCCTTGGAGCACTAACAGCAACTGGGGGAGCCGTCGGTCCAGCTGGCATAGCCTTGGGAGGGCACCAAGCCTGAAAAGGAAGAATCAGTTGGGAGAAAGGGAATCTCTGCTCTCTGGTGAAGGGCACCAAAGCTCCGACGATGATGGCGAATCTGAAGATGCAAAGTCTAGCAAAATGGGCAGCGTCAGCGGGTGGTCTTTGCACCACCGAGCGGAATCGGTGGACACCAAAGGTTCCTTGGACTTCCCTGAGCTCCTTCAAGTACCAGTGATGAGACATCCTGTCACCATGAATCCCATGAGCATGACTCCACCTGACTACCATGACTGCAATGGCAAAACCCTGCACGTTCCCAATGACGTCTTCCTTCGTATGGACCAACACAAAGAAGATCCAAGTGATTATGAAGATGAAATGGATGAAGTAATTAATGATGACCCTGTCAACTTACTGGGTTTTTTTGCTTTTGGGAGATATTTTACGCAGACTGCATTAAATAACTTTATCTTTTTTGGGCAGCTATTAGTTAGCTAGTTGATAATAAAATTGATTGAGAGGTTTGAGAGACCGTGATTAAGTAAAGTTTTTTTTTGTTATTGTTTGCAGACGGCTAATGATCTTTTCCAATGCTCCGAATGTCCAATTAATGCACTTTGAGACATCCTTTTGACATGAAAGGCACTATATAAATATTAAACATAGTTTAAATTGACCCGTTTTCAAAGACAGAATTAGAACTTGTGAGACCTGATGCTGTGCTTTACTCCCCTAACCCCATCCCTGTCATCCCCCTAAATCCCTTGATTTATCAGAACATAATAATTAAGAAGACTTGAGTTGCTGAAGAAGCTAATTCTTTTGTGGGCCACTGATCCATTCTAATGCTTTCAACTAAGTTCTATTTTTGTGGATAGATAAGCTCCCCCCTTCAAAAATCAAGCTCATTTAAGAATAAAAATGTCCATTAATTAGATAGTCTTCTCAAAGGATAACTAATTCTGAATTCTAATTGTGCCTGGGCTAAAGAGTTAGGCAAACACTTCCAATTTAATATCACAGTGTCCTCCAAAGTACATCCTGCCCACTGAAGGGGCGAAATTCTACCTGGGTTTCAGTATATTTTATTTTAACATTTCAGAACTTTCAGAACTTGGCAAATTCGTAAATACAATCTTAATTTTGAAGCTGCTTTCTGTAAGTCCTTTTGAGACTATGTGACATTGATCAATGTAACCATTTCCATTGCAGTCATTTTCCAATGTACAAAAGCTAAATGTACTAACTATTTCCATGTTTGGAGTGAATCAGTTGTTTTCCTTTCTTTAACAGAGCTACTGTTTTAGGATTCAAACATTTCTGGAGCCGTACAAACCAAACTGGTGTAAAGCACATGAGGATTGGGCTCTTTATCTATTCTCTCCTCAAAACCGGTATGCTGTGCTTTTGTGACAGGTCATTTTATAATAGTTACTTTTAGTACTACTTCTAATATGATGAGATGACATAAAATAAATGATGTACTGAATTTAGATCTTTTGAATCACACATTATCCTGCAAAATACACAAATTGTTGAATTTCACCTTTATAACTGCTATTGTATTTTCTACAAAAAATTGATGGATTGACAAGAGAAGAAAGGTGAGATCTAAAATATGCATTGCACCAATCAATTAGTAGATGATTTTGCAATTACTGGTTTAACAATGGTATCCTTTCTAATACAGATCCGACAGAAACTGAGCAAGATAGTAGTTGATTATAGGGTTGTACGTGTAGATGCAACGCTTTAGTTCTATGCCATGTAATGTTGTCTTGTCATTGAGTGCCTTATTAGGAGTCAATCCGCTGTGTGTGTGTGTGAGAGACTGAAAACGCTTGATGAAAGTGATAGCTTTTCTGGGCAAGTGAGTGATGTGTCCTTATCTCCATCATCTTCAGGTTCCGCATAATATGCCAGAAGGTCATTGCTCACAAGATGTTTGATCACGTGGTTCTGGTTTTCATATTCCTCAACTGCATCACCATTGCTCTCGAAAGACCTGAGATTGACCCAAGAAGCACAGTGAGCATATGTTACTCAATTTCCACTGCTGACTTTTCACATTTTATTTGGCATCATTTGCTCAGTATGATCAGCACGGTGCAACAATTGGATTTCCTCAGTCTTAGTACTTTGCGTAATGTTTTGCCAGTATTTCAATTTAAATCTTACATTAATATTAATTTTCTGTGCAACAATTGGATTTCCTCAGTCTTAGTACTTTGCGTAATGTTTTGCCAGTATTTCAATTTAAATCTTACATTAATATTAATTTTCTTTCTTCTTCCTCTACAGGAACGTCTTTTCCTTAGTGTTTCAAATCACATCTTCACGGCTATTTTTGTTGCTGAAATGACTGTTAAGGTAATATTACCTGTTTCTTGACAAACTGATTCATTTGAGTGAGACCCATAGATGAGAAACCTGAATGAACCCTGTGCTGTTCGCCAGCTGTTGCTGAGCAAGCAGGGGCAGAATTCTTTGTGTAAGCTTATAAAATAGGTTTTGGATGAATGTCAGCGGCGATGAGAACTGATGCACTAAAACCCTTGGTGTCAAAAAAAGTGTCTCGGAAATGGAAACTGGGAGTTTGATCCACCCTGGTGCTCAGTTTCAGATCTGAGCTGCATTGAGTGAAAGCTCCGATGCCTCCCTGCAGCAATAGAAAAAAACTGACCAGCAACATACTGTCTGTGTGCAACGTACTGTCTAGGAATAGGCTTCTCAGCAGAGATGAAATAGAAATCCAGACCAACTGAGAAAATATAGGATAAAATATCCTGGGTTATTTTTCAGGGAGAGGAATTTTTTTCAATATGGTTTGTTTTTAGAAAAAATATTATTTTCTGTCTTTCGGTAGTTACAATTAAAATGTTATAATTTGCCAATTACTGCATGCCTAAATGGAGAGAGATCTTGTCAAGCTGATTACAATCTTGGAGTTTAATGTTTTAATGTTACTCTGACCAGAAGTGAAATGCTAGTTAATCTGCAGCAGTCTAATCGCAAACCCCATTGTTTGTCAAAGCTAACTTTGTGTGTGATAAGCTTCTGATACCAAAAGCTGGGGTCGGTCTGTCTGAGGTTTTGAAACTAAACAAAAAATAATGATAATCCTTGCATTTGATATAGCGTCTTTCGTATCAGGAGGACATCTTTTTAGACTGTTTTGCACTGTATTCATTCGGCAGTTAGAAAATATGATTTCTAATTGCCGAATGAACGTGATGCAATCACGTTACGTTTGCGTAGCAGTTTGACACAAAAGCAGCATTTCAAATAGCTTCGCAGAAGGAGAATAATTTGAAATGAAATGAACAATGTTGTGCAGGCAAATTCGGCAGCAGAGATTCTTCTTATTCTTAACAAAATGCAAAATACAGCAGACGCTGGAAATCTGAAACCAAAACAGCAGCAGCTGGGAACCCTCAGCAGGTCAGGCAGCGTCTATAGAGAGAGGAAAGGGAGTCAACGTTTCTGACCCTTCTGACAAAGGGTTGTGTTCTTGAAACGTTGACTCACTTTCCTCTCTCCATAGCTGCTGCCTGACCTGCTGAGGGCTCCCGGCCGCTGCTGCTGCTTTTGTTTCATCTTCTTCTTCTTGTGCTGATTCACGCATCCCAGGAATTTAGGAGAAACTGCCCAAACTCACAAAACAATAGGATATTTACAGCAGCGGAGAGGAGATATTCCTCCCGTCAGATTTTCTGTCATGTGCCAAATGACTACACCACCCAGACACCACCCCCTGAAGATTTATGCAAGACTTATTATTATTTAATATTCTGGTTTGCTTTCATAGCTTCTGAAAGCAGCCACAATTAACAATGTTGGCATGCTTCCAGCAAAGCATTTCTTTTAACTACAGTATTGTAGCTTCTGTTCAGAAAGTCATTTAGATGTGTTTTCATGTCAGAAAGTCTCTAGAAGTCGATCTATTATTGAGTGTCAAGCAGCAGTTTAATTGATCCAATAAGATGTGCTCCCGTTTACTGCCTGTCCTCTTTTATTGCAGTTTCCTGCTTACTTTGAATGCTACCTTGAACCCTCCTGCCCGCAATCAAGGCTGTTGATGGTTCAAAGGCAGTTCCAAACAAACCATTCATCCTTCACAAATATGTTTGCTAGTGATGTGTTTTAAAAATAAATACAGTGATTACTTCTAATAATAGCTGAAACTCCATTGAAATTGATCTGGATTCAGATCAAGATAATCAAAATGAAGCAGCAATCATCTCCAAACTCAATCCGTCCACAACACTCTGACAGTGGGAAAGGAAACACGTTTTGACTAACTTCTTAAATTGATGCCCACCAATCCATTCAACACTATTTGTCCTCAGTATGACCATAGCAAAGATAGCTATCTGAGTAGAGATGTGTCCTCCTTTAATATTGACAAAATTTCTTCAAGAAGGTACAACCCTTCTTTGAGACATCAGTCTAGACTGACTGCCTGTATGCATTGTGGGAGGTTCCGATCTTTGCATGAGATGTGAAAGCAAAGTCCTGTCTGCCTGTTCAAGTGAACTCAGATTAAAGATTCCTCAACACTTTTCAAAAAGAGAGGGAATTTTCTCCCCGTGACTTGGCCAACATTCCAAAAATAAATTGGTCATTTGCTTCATGGTTGTGTGTTTTTGCCTACAATTACACATTCACTCTACTTCAAGGCAATCCCTGAGAAGCATTTTGAGATGTTTAGTCTTGAAAGGAGATGCCTCAGTTGCCAACTTAATAGAGGTGTATAAACTTCTGAATGGGATTGAAAAAAGAAACCGAAAATAATACTTAAGGATTCACCAAAATAATACTAGTAATCCTTGCATTTGAGATAGCCTCTTATCACATTTTCAAGACGTCTCAAAACGCTTCATAGGATATGTATCTTTACTGTATCTTTACCTCTTCCAAGGTGTTAAGGCTTGGCTTGGCCGCTAACCTACTATTGGATTTTGTTTCCTTCAGGTTGTGGCACAGGGATTCTTTTCGGGTGAAAGCGCTTATCTCCAAAGCAGCTGGAACATTTTGGATGGAATCCTGGTCTTTGTTTCTGTCATTGACATCGTTGTCTCCATGGCATCAGCAGGCGGAGCAAAGATCCTTGGTATTCTTCGTGTGCTGCGCCTTTTGAGAACTCTGAGACCCCTTCGGTAAGATAATAATAATCCTTGCATTTGATATAGTGCCTTATCACGTCTTCGCGAAGCCTCAAAGCGCTTCACAGAGTATACTGTAAAGTGAATTGACTGTATATTTTGTGGGTGAAAGATGCATGTAATCTAGATGATTGTTTTAAGAGAAACATTGTTAGGTAGAGAGCATATGATTTTTTTATGTGTGCTGCTTAAACATCCATTGTTAGTAGAGTTGATCAATTTATTTAATTGTGTGCCAACTTTTTAAAATAAATAATGCTCCCTCCATTGTGTAAAATGAAATCGGACTAATTCTGTTGGCAGAAGAAATGCCTTAATCTTCAGAAGAAGATATTGACAGATCTCCTCATATTGAGGCTGTGAGATTACAAAACCTGGCACAGAACGTAATTTACCCATTAAAAGTTGCCAATCTATTTACACAATATTGGTGTTGTGGAGAAAATGTTATGTCTGTTTAGTTGGTGCTGGATAAAGCAACAACTGTTTAATTAATGCCTCAGTATCAAGAGCATACAATGTTTATCATTTGGCGTTGTGCCTTTTGTTCTTTGCATTGGCCTCTGTGATAGTTATGGTTACATGTGTGCTTTGCAGAAAGGTTACATGTGTGCAACTGTTTTCTGTGAGAAGACATGATTGTGATAAAACTGATGTAGGACCATAATATTTGCTAAATGGCCATATCCTGTGTAAAAAAGGCACCTTTTTTTAAAAAAAAATTTTAACTGCAGATCCAGCCTCCAGGTCACCCAAGGGAGAGATGTTCCTCCTTGCCTTTGTTTCCTAAATGCTGCTTCTTTTTGCATTAGTTCCTTCATTCAATTAATCATAAGCCTATGAAGGAAAAAATGTTGGTGTGCTTTCTAAGAAAAAAAAGATACACTAAATCAAGATGCTCCATTGAAACTCACCCCATTAACTACTGTTGGATGTCTCTAGTTCACTTGGAGAGTGAATTTGCTGCCTGTATTGTATGAGAATCACCAACTTCAACATTAATATTGACAAGATTTCAGCAAAAATCCTATTCAGATCAAATTGTGCCCAGGATCAGATTTGATTTGACTCTGAATTTTATTGTAGAATAAGTCTTTACTTTGTTCAGTAAAAAAGCTCTATTTGTTGATGTGTGAATTGACCAAATGTCTTGAGCACTGGTGACAGATTCTCCAATTCTCTGGTCGAACTCCTTTGCCAAACTGACAATAGCTTAATCACATTGAGGACTAACAGTCAGACACTTTGGGCCTTTTGCTCTGAGTAATAGTGCCTGATTGCTGTAGATCATAGCCTGTAAAGGTGTTCAGACAGAGAGAGACTCTGTGATGGATTCAGTTCCATACAGAGGATAAACGGGATAACTAAGATAGATGCCACTTTCAAGAGTAGAAAACACACAGTATATGGGGAGGAGGGGGAAGATGATCTTGATTTAGCACAATTTTATTTGACCCAAAATCCAGGGCCCTGAGCTAATCTCATGAAAATTGATGATTTACAATTGGCGCACGTTTTGGAACTCCAAGTAACATGCATGTCCTTCATACTTTCTAAAAGGTTTACACAGAAATAAACACATTTTCTGTTGGAACTATAGAATTTGTGAAGTGGAGGGGAAAATGACTAATTGCAAAAACTCACAAGGTTATGTTGTCTAATGGCGAGTTGGATTAGGAAAAGACAAGTTACTTTAATTGATGTTGTTTTCACACCAATATTTCAAAATCAATCTGTGCTTTTCTCGCTGTCATTCCATTCCCATGGGTTCTCTCGGGTAAACTTGCCTTTCTCATAATATAGCCTTGTCAACATAAACTAATTTTGTTTCACAGCTTATTGTAAGTGAGTCTCGGAAGTTTCAGTACCATTGATTATGATCGTTTACAGAATTTTATCCCTCTTGCCAGAGTCATCAGCAGAGCTCCAGGTCTAAAACTGGTAGTGGAAACCTTAATATCTTCCCTGAGACCTATTGGGAATATTGTGCTCATCTGCTGTGCTTTCTTTATCATCTTTGGAATCCTAGGGGTCCAGGTAAATATAATTTCATTCCATTAATAAAAGGTCAAACCATGTTCAAAAGGTTCAATGCCTCCAGAAAGTCAATCCGTCCAAGTAAACAACTATACTAGGATTTAGAGGGAGACAATACATTTCTATTAGTTTAAATCCTGGTTCATCTTAAAGGGATACTGCCTTAAGGAAAACATATGTGGCAATCCATACAGTAAAGATCTGCAGAGATGGATCTGCATGTAATTTCAGTCAGAATCCAGTGATACACAGATTCTTTTGACTCTTATCATTACCTGAACAAACATGGATTTGCTAAATATTTTATCAACACCTGCACTTTCATTTTGGAAGCCTATATTATCCGCTTACCTTCAGCTGAAAAATGCATATTCTAAGAATTAAGTAAAGCTATTGTCCTCAGCTACCTTGGAGGTTAGTTTTGCTGATCTGCCTTATTGTTCAACCTAAATTATTTTCAATTAACAAAACCCCAGATAACTTCTAAAAAAAAACTATGTTTGTTTCAGTTGTTCAAAGGGAAGTTTTACCACTGTGAAGGACATGATACGAAGAACATTACTAACAAGCCAGATTGCCTCCAAGCCAACTTCAAATGGTTGCGCCGTAAATATAATTTTGATAATCTGGGACAGGTAAGTGTTGCACTACACATTTAATGGAATGGGCAAAAGATTGGTTTGTGTCTTGGCCAACAATCCCACTAGATGGGAAAAAATGGTCACTCACTTTATCATGGCTGTTAATGTTTCATTGCTGTGTGCAGATTGGTTGCTGAGTTCCACTACAAATACAACAACATGGATTTATATAGTGCCCTCTACGCCGGACGGCGTCTCAGAGCACTTCACAGTAACGGATCCCGGGACCGAGCCAGGGGGAGGGGGAGGAGGCGGGGGGAGTGGGAGGAGCCGGGGGAAGGGGAGGAGCCGGGGGAGTGGGAGGAGCCAGGGGAGGGGGAGGATCCAGGGGGAGTGGGAGGAGCCGGGGGGAGGGGGAGGAGCCAGGGGGAGGGGGAGGAAGGTGACCAAAGGCGCGGTCGAAAAGAAAGGTCTTCAGCAGAGACCTGAAAATAGGAAGAGAGGGGGCGAGGGGAAGGGAGTGAGGAAGGAAGTTTCAGAGCCTCGGGGCATAGTGGCTGAAGGCACAGCCGCCGAGGGTGGAGCGGAGGACTCGGACAAGGAGGAGGCCAGACCCGGAGGAACGAAGGCAACGGGTATTGTTTTGAGCAGAGAGGACGGGAGATGCAGAGGAGTGGAGGGATTTGAAGACAAGGGGGAGGATCTTGAAGTCGATCCTCTCTGGGACAGACAGCCAGTGCAGGGAGCGGAGTTTGGTGCGGGTGAGAATGCGGGTGGCAGAGTTTTGAATGATCTGGATTTTATGAATGGGAGACTGGTGAGGAGGGCATAAGAGTAGTCCAACCAAGAGGTGATAAAGGTATGGACCAGGGTTTGAGCGGCTTTTGGGGAGAGGTATTGGTGGAGACAGGCGATGTGTCGGAGGTGGAAGAAAGCGGTGCTGGTGAGGAACCGGATGTGGGGTAATTGGTGGTTGAACCTGACGCCTGGGTTGTGTACGGGTTCGGAGAGTTTTAGGGGGAGGTCGGGAAGGTGGAGGAGGTGAGAACCGTGAGATTTTAGACGTTGACAAGAGCCAACGAGTACGGCTTCTGTCTTGTCAATGTTCAGCTGAAGGAAACTTGCGCTCATCCAGCCCCTGCGGTCAGACAGGCAGAACATCAGGGCACTGAGGGTCGCAAAGAGAGGTGGAAAAATAGAGTTGGGTGTCGTCCGCGTACATGTGGAAGTGTACCCCATGTCTGCGGATGACATCCCCAAGAGGGAGCATGAAGATCAGAAAGAGGAGGGGGCCAAGGATGGATCCTTGGGGTACCCCGCAGGTAACCGGGTGAGAGCGGGAGGAGAAGCCGTTATACACAGTCACTACACTTTACCCATGCAGTGGTACCTGTGGGCAATTGATTACAGTTGCTTCTACGTTTCTGAAGGTGGAATGAGTAGTCAGTGATCTCTTCAAGTATATGCTAAAAGTAGAAATCACTTATAGTGATCATATATTAATTGTGAACTAAAATTCTAATCTCTTAACTAATTTGTCATGTAACTGAATAGAATCACACAACTATGTACCTGTGGGCAACTGAGCACCAACTATTGTTGTGCCCATAAAAAGCAGGGGAATGTAAACAGATCAATGGAAAAGTGTGTTGTCAGCCATAATACAGTTAATTACTCTCTCTATTGACCTAATCTTTTAAGCAATCTTTTTAACATTATTAACTAAGTTCAGCTCCAGGAAGAGGCTTTCCTTCCAAAGCATACAAATGATTTCAGATCAGGCTCATTGGCTGATTGAACATATAACTCAGCAGCTTCTTTGCGTTTAGGGCATCTTTAAAGCTCTCTTTGAATTGAATGGAATGTCACCGAATTTGAACTCGTCCTTTCTACCTTTTAATTAGTAGTTACAAGTGTACAGTCCTTAGTGAAATTTTCAATATAGTAAAATATTGTTGCTGTAAAACATTACAAATTGGAGTAAATTAATAATCCTTCCATGCCGATAATGTTGAAGTATCCCAATGCACTTCAGAGGAATTGCTGTGAAGTGCAGTGACTGCGTGTGCGTGTTGCCAACAGATCAGCCAGTTCATGCACAGCAATGTCCCACAAACAGCCATGAAGTAAATGATCAATTTATCTGGGGGCCTGTTGACTAGATATCAGTAGAAATTCCCTTCTCTTTACAAATAGAGTTGTGGGATCTTTAACATGCACCTGAACAGGCAGACAGAACCTTGGTTTAACATTTCATCTGAATGACAGCGTAGAATTTGTTTTTCCATTAATGTCCACAGTCCATGCTGTTTAATTGTCTATCTCCTAAAGCCAGGAAGCAGAAGCAAGTGTTATCGTAGTGTACCTGAAATCTTGTAACTTCTTTGGAATCTGTAATTGACTCCCAGGATGGCTGAGGAGATTAGTTGACAAGGGAAGCCAGTAAAGAAAAGGAGATTGATAGGTTGACAGATATGTGTGTGACAAATCAGCTCATTGGAAAGACAGACCAGAAATATGGGACCTTATAGAGACAATGTCAAAGATGAAGAATGATGTGGATGCGGATCCCGCCACGCAGATTCTTTACTCCGACTCCCACTGCGAGGAAATGCTAGACTTCCTCAAGTCCAAAATCGAGGGAATCCGCTAAGCTGCCACTGCCCTCCCAACTTGCAGCCCCTCCCTCCCCCACCACAAACTCTCTTTCCTCTCCTCTCACTCCCTCCATGAATCCCTCCAATTGGGTTTCTGTGCTGCTCACAGCACGGAAACTGCTCTGGTCAAAGTCACAAACGACCAGGGCTCCCTCTGCCTCCTCATCCTCCTCGACCTCTCCACCCCTTTTGACACTGTGGACCCCTCAATCCTCTTCCACCGCCTCTCCTCCCACCTCAACCTCCAAGGCTCTATCCTTGACTGGTTCAGGTCCTACCCTTCACACCGCCTCCACTTTGTCTCAGCTAACAACTTCTCCTCCAGCCCCCGCACCGTCTCGCGCGGTGTCCCTCAGGGCTCTGTCCTCGGTTCCCTCCTCTTCACCCGCTACATACTCCCCCTTGATGACGTCATCCGCAGACATGGGGTAAGTTTCCACATGTATGCGGACGACACCCAACTTTATCTCTCTGCCTCCACCCTGAACTCCAGGACTACTGGCGTCCTGACCAACTGCCTGTCCGGCATCAAGTCCTGGACGAGGGACAACTTTCTCCAACTCAACATCAGTAAGACCGAGGCCCTCCTGATTGACTCGCGCCAACACCTCCACACCTCAGGCGCTAGCAGCATCAGCCTCCACAGCTGCACACTCAAACTCATTAAGCCAGTCAGGAACCTGGGGGTCTTGTTTGACCCTGAACTGTCCTTTCTCCCCCACATCGGGCCATGACCCGCACTGCCTACCACCACCTCCGCAACATTGCCAGACTCCGCCACTGCCTCACCCCTCAGGCTGCCGAAACCCTCACCCACGCATTCGTCACCTCAAGGCTCGATTATAGAAACTCCCTCTTCATCGGCCTTCCCAACTCTTCCCATCACAAGCTGCAGATCATCCGAAACTCTGCAGCTCGTGTACTCTCGTGCACCAGGCTCCGTGACCCCATCACTCCCACCCTCGCCCGACTCCACTGGCTCCCCATCCCCCAGAGGATCGAGTTCAAGATCCTCATCCTCACATTCAAGACCATCTATGGCCTCACCCCCTCCTACCTCTCTGACCTACTGACTCCCTACCAACCTGCCTGCTCCCTCCGTTCATCGGGCTCCGGCCTGCTCCATGTCTCCCGCCCGACCCGTCCTGCCATCAACCTCTCTGTCCCCACACTCTGGAACTCCATCCCACGGTCCCTTCACCTCGCTTCCTCCCTTGCCTCCTTCAAGGCCGGTCTCAAGACCCTTCTCTTCGACCGTGCCTTTGGTCTCCCTCCCACCTCTCTGCCTTCCCTCACCTCTACCCCACCCCTCACCCCTACTCCACCACTCCCCCATGCTTGGGCCCTGACAGTTGACTGTTCAGCGCTTTGGGACGTCCTCCCGACGTGAAAGGCGCTCTATAAATGTAATTTTGTTGTTACGTTATTTTTGTTGTTGCTTTTAAAACACATCCTTTTGACTGTGTCTTTGGCGACCTACTGCCTACTGCCTTATCTCCCATTTTGTGAAAAAAATGTAAAGATTATTATTATTTATTCCTTGCATAAGTGCAAGTTCTTGTTGGCATAACCTTCATCCACTTCATCATTTGAAAACATGACTTGGCACTGCACATGAGTTCTATATTTCAAAAGAACTTGTGTCTTTCGTTCTAGTGGTTCATGTGTTAGTTTGGTTTTATTCAGTGATTCTTGCATTTTTTAACATACATATTGAAATACTGGAAAATTGTAATTTGTTTTTTTCTCTCTGTTGCTTTTTAGGCATTGATGTCACTCTTTGTGTTATCCTCCAAAGATGGTTGGGTGAATATAATGTATGATGGCCTGGATGCTGTGGGAATAGACAAACAGGTAATAATGAAAGATGGCATCTAATCTCCTTTTGATTATTGAAAAACAAGTAACCCCTTTATCCTGCATAAAATGGGTTTCGGTTTTCTTTGGATCAAAAAGGAGTGGTATGCCCAAACTATGAATTCTACTTCCCAGCTGCTCAATCCCAGCCCATGATGAATTGGATTTCCATGACAAATGCGCATTTATGGGTCAGAATGGAATTGGTGGTCTCACCTCCTGTCGTTCCATCTTTCATCAACCCTTCATAGCATTCTCCATTTTACCTGGCCGACTGTGGGAGTGAATGAGCAAACATAATCAAATATATGCCACTACTTCCATAATCTTGTGGAGTCCTGTAGCTCAGTGGATAGAGCACTCGCCATGCGAGCAAGAGATCTGGATTTAATTCCTGTCAGGGCGAAACCTTGGGCAAGTTTCCTTACACCTAATAATAATCCCTCAAGAAAAAATAATAATAAATTGGTCACTTCAATCCATGACTGTTTGTGGGACGCTGCTGTGCGCAATTGGCTGCTGCATTTTCGCCCTCAAATATACAGTTAATTCACTTTACAGTATATTCTAGGAAGTGCTTTGAGACGTCTCGAAGACATGAAAAGCGCTATATCAAATGCAAGGATCATTATTATTATTATAATTATTATAATCTGTAAAATCTTGCTCCTGATTGTAATACATCCTTGAAATACCCACTCCATTTTTAGGAAGGCATGAGAAAAGCTTTTCCCATCTCTTGTTTATTTATTCAACACAATCCTATTCTTCATTCCGCAACTTCATTTCTCTTTTCAAAGGTTTTTTTTAATATTCAGAAGTGGCACTCACTGTCAGTTTGAGAGGTCTCTGAAAGGATCTCATGGCAATTGCCCTTATTGGAGCCTTCATTAACAAACTGTGGGGAGTAACTCTGAGCTCATAGTGTAATATTATTAATACTTTTTTTATTGATATTGTGGCAGAAATTAACTGGTAACTTTCTGCACGTCATTCTAATTCAGGGTTAGTATTTTTCTTTAAAAGTTTCTTCTTTTGTTTTTACCCCTAACCCCCCACTCTTGAAATGACAGCCGCAAAGGAATCACAACCCATGGATGCTTCTGTTTTTCATCTCCTTCCTTCTGATTGTGAGTTTCTTCGTGCTCAACATGTTTGTTGGTGTCGTGGTGGAGAACTTCCACAAATGCCGGCAGCACCAGGAAGCTGAGGAAGCCCGGCGGCGCGAGGAGAAGCGTTTGCGGCGGCTCGAGAAAAAGCGCCGGAGTAAGGAACTGTGCCTGGCTGGTCGGTAGTATGTTTAATCTTTCTGAGCCCTGCCTATTTCCAAACTCGAAGGAAATGTGATGGCACAGCATGCCCATGCATGCCCAGCTCATGTTGCACGCAGACCTCAAGAGAACCGGTTGCACTGCAGGGATGTTTCTTTCTCCTTTGAGTTTTTTTTTGTTTGAAGATGAATTTGTTTCCTCTCTGACTGAAGGAAAAAGTTCATATTTTTTTCGACGTGTTTTTTTGTGTAAAAAAAAGCAAGGCAGAGTTAATGTGAAAAAAAACGATCATGTATTGTTGGCTCATGATTGTTTTGCAAAACACTTACCCCCAAAATACCAAAGCATCTAATAACTAATTACTGCATTAAGTAGATGTTTTCTCACAGTGCAGTGCATACACCTGGATTCCCATTCATGGATAAATCCTGTTATTACATAACATACCTTGACCAGGTAGGAGGGAACACAAGAAAATAATGTGTTGACATTCAAGGAACCCAAAAAAAATCACACCCCAGGTACCACATGCAGTACAAAACAACAACATGTCCCAAGGTTTTGGTTTCGCCCACAAAACACACATTCAGTATATTCTGTGAAGTGCTTTGAGACGTCACAATGACGTGATAAGGTGCTATATCAAATGCAAGGATTATTATTATTTTGGTTGAACGCGGCAGACTCAGAAAGATTGTAGTTTGTGCTGTACGATGTAATGTCCTGTTTTTGCAAATCTGTTATTCATTTGTGACAGTTTTGTGGTCGGAAGGGATCTGCCCTGTTACACTTTCACTGGAATCTAGTCCATTAGGATTGCTTTCTGCAGCTTTTAGGAGTTATATACTTCACTAGGACCAAGTGTCACCATTAGTGGAAGGCTCTTGCTACTGTCTCAGATCTTGACTTTAATGTTATTTCTGGTAGCAGCACTCAAGCAGCAAATCGACACTTTGATCTTAACAGGCCACATGGGGAAGATTGTTTGAATCAAAGCAGACAAAAAAGTAGAATGCATGGTTATTAATATAGTGGTAAACGAGGTTGTGGCAAGTGCCATTGTCCTCTTCGTATAAACAGAAGATGTTAGGAGGTAACAGCACCAGCAAATCCAGGCACTGTGGGCTCTGGATATCTCTTGCGTACTTTTATATACTTAGTCTTGGGTGACGAAGAATCAATTCCTTCTATTTATTCAGTTTGATTTGAAAAAGGAAAACAAACCACAGTTACAGAAGTGACCCTCTTCAAACCTTAGAACCACCTATTGATGACAGCCCCTTAGCCCAGGATTGTATAGTGCAGTAGTACATGGAAAATCACATGCGTTTCCAAAGTAAAGCATGTAGCAGCTGCATGTTTTCTTTTCTCCCTTAATAGTTCCATTGGAACAAATTGTTATCCGTATGAAGACATTTATGAACTAAAACTCGCATGTAATTATTACTTCGGCTTTAATGCATTTTACGGCACCTATCTCAACTTTCACCAAAGTAACACTTTAACATTGTCTGCTGCATTACATGGCTATACATAATTTAGCATGGGGGCACAATATTGCATGTGTGAATTTATAACAGCAACTGTTTTATTATTTTTGAATGAAATGTACACCCTGCCTTTCTGCAAATGTCACCTTCTAACTGCATCCCACACTGTAATGCATGTCCCAGTGGCTCCTCAGGCATCAGTGAATGAGGGGAAACTGAACAAACTGATTGGCTTCAGTGTGCACCCTCAGTACTAACCCTGTCTTGGTTGCACGGAAAGTGATGCGGCAGTGCAACAATGTCTTCTTCCTCTTATTTCCCACTACCCACTCCCCCCAATCCCTCTTTCTCTCCCTTTATGAGCCACCCTCTGCTCAGAGCTGAGCCTGACGACCCAAATGGAGGTCAGGAACCCACTATACGCAAGACCCCTACTGCTGGGTGTGAATGTCAGAAGAGGCTGGGAATTAATTGTGGGCTTTGGGGGCTGCAGCCCAATGAGGAATGCACTGCATGTCTGGTACCACCACCATCATCAATTCAGATTGACTAAACCACAATATTCATATTACTTAGTAGTAACTCATACTATTAATGAAATTAAATGTACTCAGTGATCTTTGTGTATGTTATAACATATTTTAATCTTTAATCTTTGTGATGTAAGTTTTAGAATATTCAAATCTGTGTTTTCTTTTTTCCTTGTTCCATTCAGAAGCCCAGCGCAGGCCGTATTATGCCAACTACTCACCTGCTCGACTTTACATCCACACAATGTGTACCAGCCACTACTTGGATCTGTTCATCACATTCATTATTGCTATCAATGTCATCACTATGTCCATGGAGCACTATGAACAGCCAATTGTAAGTGCATGCAAAAACTGTGATAGAGCTTGAGCGATCCTTGAACCATAGACATGTCCAGCTCAGAAGGAGAGCATTCAGCCTATTGGCCTCTAGGAAAGGGCAATAGGAGGGACGGGGGTTTGTGTGGAGTATAAACTATGGCATAGAGTGGTTGGGCCGAATGGCCAGGTTCCTTGCTGTAAAATTCTGTGTAATTCTATGTGCATTAGAAAAAGCTATCAACTTAGTACCATTTCCTGTCGAATCCTCATACCCAATGTTTTTCTACTCCCAACCGTTCATTGGGAGTGATTCTATAGTTGTCAATAAATGAACTAACCCTGCCGGGTGTCTATTTGTTCACTGGCTGCTCATCTAACATCTAACATCTAACGTTGACATCAAACAGCTTTTATAAGTTTATAATGGGCATTGTGCGTAAGACCATTGTTAGCTTACACAGAATCAGTTAAATACAACAACAACAACAACAACAAGATTCCATTTATTGAGCGCCTTTCACGTCGGGAGGACGTCCCAAGACGCTGTACAGTTGGGTCAGGACCCGAGCATTGGGGGGAAATGGTCAGGGTGAGGGGAGGGAAGGGAGGGAGCGAGGAGGGGGTAGAGAGTCGAGAGGACAGCTGAAGGTTCGGTCAAAGAGAAAGGTCTAGAGACCGGCCTTGAAGGAGGAAAGGGAGGAAGCGGCAAAGGCACTGGGGGATAGAGTTCCAGAGCCTCGGGGCTGAGAGGCTGAAGGCCCGGCCACCGATGGTAGGGCGATTGGGGCGGGGGATGTGGAGCAGACCGGAGCCGGAGGAACGGAGGGTTCGGGCAGGTAGGTAGGGGGATAGTAGGTTGGAGAGGTAGGAGGGAGCGAGGCCGTGAATGGCCTTGTAGGTGAGGGTGAGGATCTTGAATTCGATCCTCTGGGGGGTGGGGAGCCAGTGGGGGCGAGCGAGGGCGAGGGTGGGAGTGATGTGGTCGCGGTATCTGGTGCGAGACAGTACACGAGCTGCAGAGTTCTGAATGACCTGCAGTGTGGAGGGAGGTGGCGGGAAGGCCGGCGAGGAGAGAGTTCCATAGTCCAGCCTTGAGGTGATAAAGGCGTGGACCAGAGTTTCAGCCGCGTGAGGGGTGAGGTAGTGCCGTAGTCTGGCGACATTCCGGAGGTGATGGAAGGCGGTGCCAGTTGTGACGCGGATATGGGGGAGAAAGGACAGCTCAGGGTCGAACAGAACATCGAGGTTCCTGATGGCCTTGAGAGGTGGAGAGTGCGACCTTGGATGCTGATGCTGTCAGCGCCTGAGGTGCGGAGGCGCTGACGGAGCCAATCAGGAGGGCCTCAGTTTTGCACACGTTGAGCTGAAGTAAGTTATCTCTCGTCCAGGACTCGATGTCGGACAGACAGCTGTCAGGACATCGGGGGTCGTGGAGTTGAGGGTAGAGGAGGAAAGGTAGAGTTGGGTGTCATCCGCATACATGTGGAAGTTAACCCCATGTCTGCGGATGATGTTACCACAGGGGGAGCATATAGAGGGTGAAGAGGAGGGGACCGAGGACAGAGCCCTGAGGGACACCACACGAGACAGTGCGGGGGCCGGAGGAAAAACCATTTGTGGATTTTTTCCCCGATTGTTGCGGGGAGAACAACCCATTTGCTTCTTCTGTAGATATAGAACATTTACTCACACTTACGAGTCATTTCAGTGCTCCTAAATTCAGAAAAATATTTTTAGCGCAAATCATTTTTTTAAACAAACAACAACAACAACAACAACAAGATTCCATTTATTGAGCGCCTTTCACGTCGGGAGGACGTCCCAAAAGAAATCCATAAATTTTACAAATTAAATGGTCGTTGTCTGCCAGTCAAATATATTTTAGTTCCTGAGGCTACCAAGAACTTGCTTGTGATTTCAAATTGCCAATGACTTATCCAGTCAGTAACATGGGTAACAAACAAAGCAAAACTTATATAATTAGGGATGGTTTCAATAGCCAATTATGATACATTTGTAATTCATTATTATTGATATCCAGCTGGTAGATAGATAAATATACTTTTGCAAATTAAAGGATTTTTTTGGCGTGACAATTAACCCTTAATATTAATTGACTAAATGATTGAAATTTTCTTTTTTTTGATCTGCATCCAGAAACTTGAAGTGGCTCTGAAATATTGCAATTATGTCTTCACCGTCGTCTTTGTCTTCGAGGCTGTTCTTAAACTAGTTGCATTTGGCTTCCGGAGATTTTTTAAAGACAGGTAAGAAACATGGAAGTTTTCCTATTGACTGCTGGTGAATGCAAATATTGAATTCCTAACTGGGCCGTGTCAATCAGCGTTCAGTGAGGGACAAATCTGGTTAAAGCCTATGAGGTTGGCATGTGTATATCAAATGCAAGGATTATTATTATTGTTGTCATTTTTATAGCTGATTCTGTGCAGTAGCTTTTGTGACCATTGTCTTGACAAGGTTCATAGATTTTCAAATGTCATATTTTTCCGGTGGAACAGATTTGTCCCAGTGCTGCCTGCCATTTCAATCTGCTAATACCACGCATTTGTGTTTTGAATGTCTGGATCTGTAGCTGCAGTGGCCTGAGACCCTTCGGCATTGGGGGAACTAGTTATTAAGTGGTTTGTGCCCTATAGTGTTGACATTACATTGATGGAAACTGCATTCATTAATTTGTTCCAAATCACAATTGCTTTCTTAGCTGGGGAAGGGTTTGTTAGCAACCTGGAAGGATAGGAAAAATAAGGAAAAAATATTTTTGGGCTGGTTTTGAAAATTAATCACATTAAAAGCAATGTTGATCAATCTACAGGAACTATTTGCTCCGCACAATGATCCCCAGCTGTTCAGTAAACAAAATTTCTGTTTCATGAGTTTTCATAATGATTATGTTTTGATAATCTAATGGACTGCAACAAGATTAATTGATTAAATTTACACTGATGTTTATTCCCTGAATTTGTAGTCTTTGATCAGAGATTTTCCTGTAACATTGGGTGGGGGGCTGGAGGGAACTTAATTTACCACAACTTTGTCCACAACTTTGTCATCTCCAGAATAGACTTTTGTCCAATATCCCTGCTCACTAGTGTCCCAGCTCCATCCTTGACAAGTTCCAGTCCGTCCAGAACTCTGCAACATGGATCCTCTCCCACACTAGGCTCCACAACCCCTTGACCCTCATCCTCATCCTTGCAGGAGCTCAACCTTAAGATCCTAATATTTCCTTCAAATACCTCCACGTACTAGACCTACCGTACATTCTACAAGTGTTTCAACACAACAAAATTAACTTTCTGCTCATATTGTGAGTCACAGTGATTATAATCCTCTTGAAATACAAACACTTAAGGAGAATGACTAATTTTTCCAGGTGGAACCAACTAGATCTTGCCATTGTGCTTCTCTCAATAATGGGAATAACCTTGGAAGAAATTGAACTTAATGCCTCGCTCCCTATTAACCCCACCATCATTCGTATTATGAGAGTTCTACGAATCGCAAGAGGTAACATGTCCACTTTTTAGAGGGACTATTTATTAGAATACAGTGCATTCTCTGTTATAGTATGGTTAACTGGGTCCACCGTCAGCAGTTGTGTGAAAAGTGAAGCCGGAATGAATGACCAACTTCTGGGACATTCATTAGGTTTCATCATTTCATTCATCATTTCCTGTGCAACTCAGAAGTTGGCCATGTTTTAGCGTGGGTGGCTGGCTTGGTAGTGCTGTCCATAGTTGTGTTTCTGCAGTTCTTAAAAATAAACAATTTCCCAATGAAGCTTCAATTTAAGAATTGTTCATAATGCTGTGCCATCTTAAATTATAAGACAAACTGGTCCTAGAGGCTAAGAGAAGGTGGAATTTGGGGCCCAGAGTCTAGTGCAATACCAAGGTTGAAAACCTGAAAAGTCCTGAAGTAATGTTTAGGTGAAACCAAGTTTACATTTATCAAAACTTGTGGATTTTGGAAGGAAGGGCAAACCGAGGGAGGTAATTAAGAAATTTATTATCCTTTAAATGCTCAAAGAATGAATTAGAGTAGAGATCACATAACACAATGAGCATATTCGATGTTTGGGAAGAACAAGAGAGGAAATTTCGGAAATGTGATAACCCACTAACATACAGAAGGGTGAAAAAGTTTGCATGCGAGTTGACATCCCCATCAATACAAAACACAACTAAAGTACTATTTAAAAATTATAAGGGGACGGAGTATGTTCCCCTTATAATTTTCCAATATATCTTACACCTTTCAGATGTTACCTTATCAAACTTTTGAAAAAAGTCATCAAGTAGTTTTATCAGATGCCCTATTATCTGGGTGTCGTATCATCTAAATGCTACGCTTATTCTTACTTTTCTGCCTTCCCAGTGCTGAAACTGCTCAAGATGGCGACTGGAATGAGAGCTTTACTCGACACTGTTGTACAAGCTTTGCCTCAGGTAAGATCTCTTGCATCAACATTATTGAATAAAATAAAAATAATTTGAGCAATTGCCTGCTGCGTTTCGTCCAACAAAATTACATTTGTATAGCACCTTTCACGTCGGGAGGACGTCTCAAGGCGCTGGACAGTCAATGTTTCAGACCCGAGCTGGGGGTCGAGATTGGGGAGGGTGGAGGGCAGTGGGGGAAGCAGGGTAATCGAAAGCACGGTCGAAGAGGAGAGTCTTGAGATGGGCATTGTAGGAGGTAAGGGAGGGGGCAAGGCAGATGGACTGCGGGATGGAGTTCCAGAGGGTAGGGGTAGAGTGGCAGAAGGCCCTCCCACCAATGGTGGGGCGAGCAAGGCGGGGGATGTGAAGCAGGCCAGAGTCCACTGAGCGGTGAGAGCGGGCAGGATGGTAGGAGGTCACAGAGGTAGGGAGAGCAAGGTCATGGAGGGCTTTGAAGGTGAGGATCAGGATCTTGAGTGATGGGAAGCCTGTGGAGTTGGGCGAGGATGGGGGTGATAGGGTCATGGAGCCTGGTGTGGGAGAGGAGTGAGTGAGTTCTGGATGATCTGCAGCCTATGGAGGGAGGAGTTGGGGAGGTGATGGGGGCAAGAGTGTCGAGTGTGGAGGAGAGGGTGTTGTGAAGGAGGGTGAGAGGAGAAGAGGGGTCAGTGAGGGTTGAAGGCCAGAGGGAGAGGAGTTCAGAGGACTCCAAGGCAGCGGTTAGGGATTGTGGGGGTAACTTCTTCCAGGGGCGGTAGAAGATGGTGGTGGGTCTGGTGGAGGTGGGGAGGGGGGTGGAGGTGGTGAAGGAGATGAAGTGGTGATCGGAGACGGCCTTGTCGGTGATGGTGACATCCGAGACACTGAGGCCCCGGGTGATCACCAAGTCGAGTGGGTGGCCGTGACTGTGAGTGGGGGAGTTGATGTGGAGGGAGAGGTTGAGCGAGGAGAGCAGGAAGAGAAATCTGAGGAGATGGAGCAGGAGGGGGTGAAGTGCAGGTTGAAGTCGCCCAGGATGATGAGGCGATCAGAGCAGAGGCAGAGAGATGTAAGAAGTGTCAAAATATCGGAGATGAAGGTGGGAGAGGTTTTACGGAGCTGGTAGAGGAGGAGAAGCAGAGCATGGGGTTGTCCTTGGCCTCCAAGACTGTCTTGGAGTAGAACGATGATTTAGTGGAGGCGAGGCAGAGTGATAGGGATTTGATAAGGTCCAGTCAGATCTGTCGATGGACCATTAAGTTCGATTTAAGCCAGGTGCGCTCAGCGGCACGTACCTGTGCGTTCAGGGACTGGAGGTGGCTGGTGTACCATGGTGATTTTTGTGAGTAGGAGACAGTTCGGGAAGTGAGGGGAGCAAGGGAATCGAGAGTGGAGGAGAGGGAGCTGTGGGGAAGAGTGATAGAGGAGGAAAAGTCAATTGCAGGAGGAAGCACAGATGGGAAGGAGTTCAGATGACTCCAAGGTAGCCAAGAGGGAATGAGGTGGGGGGGGTGTTTCCAGGAGGTGGGAGATGGAGGTGGGTTGGGTGGCGGTGGGGAGAAGGATTGAGGAGTTAAGAGAGATGAAGTGATGGTCCGAGATTGCTTTGTCGATGATGGTGAGGTCTGAGATGGTGAAGCACCGAGTGATCACCGAGCCGAGCGAGTGACCACGGACATGGCTGGTAGAGTGGATGTGGAGAGAGAGGTTGAGGGAGGAGATAAGGGAGGAGGTCAGCAGAAGTAGAGCAAGAGGGGTGAAGTGAAGGTTGAAATCGCTAAGGATAAGGAGGCATTCAGAGCAGAGGGAGAGGGAAGATAGGAGGGTGGAGATGTCAGGGTGGAAGGTGGGGGAGAGGCTGGGGGGGGCGATAGATAAGGAGAATTTTGAGGGAAAGGTTGGAGGGGTGATAAGGGGTGGTAAGGTGCTCGAAGGAGGGGAAGTTTCCAGAGCAGTAAGGGTTAGGCCAAGCAGGGACTGGGAGATGAGAGCCACCACGGCGGTTACGTCGTGGGGTGTGATGGAAGGTGTGTGGTTTCTGTCAGGGGGAAGGTGTCACTTGGAGTGATCCAGGTTTCAGTGAGGGCGAGAATGTTGATGTTTTCGTTGACAACGAGGTCTTGGATTTTGGGCGTTTTTTTTGAGAGGGAGCAGACATTTTGTAGGCCAATGCGGAGGGACAGTTGGTCGTGGACTGTGGGGGGCAAGGGGGGTGGGGGTGGATGAGGGAGGAGAGGTTGGCCCTCAAGGGCCTTGCAGTGAGAATGGGGGATAGGGCAGTCAGAGTGGCTGCCATTGGACAGCCAGAGGCATCTGCCACGGTGGGCCCGATGGAGGATTCGCAGGCTGGAGCAGAAGGAGATGCCAAGTCACTTTGCAGTATAGTCTGTGAAGCACTTTCAAACATTGCGAAAACGTGATAAGACGCTATATCAAATGCAAAGATTATTGTTATTCAAAATTGGTGTTAAAATGTAACAGCTTCAGAATCGGTATTCAATATTGAGGGTTAAAGAAAAATCTAATTTATAAATACAGAACTGCTGCACAACCTGGTTGGGATCATTAACATTTTATAATGGTGTAGATTAGCATGAGGTTCATTGTGTGAGAGGTCTTTCCCAGCAGGCACGCTGTGAGTTCTGTGTATGCTTCTCATGGCTGGCTGCAATGCTGAAGCATTGGCAAACAATGCAGGAATAATTAATTTCAGGTCAAAGTGGAACAGTGAACAAAAAATTTAAGCCTGTATTTCTATCCAAAATTGGTTTTACATTTTGCTTAAAATCAATACTGAAAAAAATGCACAACCTCGGTGATAAAAATTGTAAACAAAAATCGATCTTCCAAGGGACTGGTTGGTACAGTAGTTTGCTGTCGGCTATTGTCACATTTTGAGATCTAATTTGAAACCTGTTGACTCTGAATGGGTGTTTCTTCTCTCTCTGCTGAGCTAGCGCAAGGGCACTAAGAAAACAAGAACAACAAGATTGCATTTATAGAGCGCCTTTCACGTCGGGAGGATGTCCCAAGACGCTGGACAGTTGGGTCAGGACCCGAGCAGGGGGAAACTGGTCAGGGTGAGGGGAGGGAAGGGAGGGAGCGAGGAGGGGGTAGAGTCGAGAGGGGAGCCGAAAGCACGGTTGAAGAGAAAAGTGTATCGGACAGATGGAACCTTGTTCCTCAGCAATGATTAGTCATTGCTAAAACACAGATGTTTTGTGAGAACAGGTTATGTGGGAAGTACAAGTATCCCATAGGAGTTCAACAAAGTTAAGGGTGGACAGGGAGTTTTATTCCACATTTGTCCTGTGGAACACTTGATGGTGGTGTGCTTGATACTGACATTGGATGCATAAGCCACAGGAGGATGAGGAAAGGACAGGTAAATTGGACTGAAAGGATTGCTCTTAAAAGAGGAGCCTAATGGCCTTCTTCTGTTCTGTGAATTTCTAAAATTTTAACTAGAAAAGTGCCGCTTGTGTCGTCACAGAGTCGCAAAATAAGATGCCCCAAAGTGGCTGCGAAGCCCTGCCCACAGAACGGAAGGAATAGATCTTTGTTACCTGCAATCATCTTTAAGAAATAAAGGAGTTGTTGGTTCAAGTGCACATCTGTGACATCTGATTAACAACATTGAAATTTTAAGCACTCTGAGGTGCTACCCTCTATGGAGGGCGCTATATAAGCACAAGTTGTTGTTGTTGGAAAGGAGTTGCTTTCACTTTAATGCAGTAATTGCTCTCTTCAATGTTTAGAGTTAAACTCATTTGAAGTAGTTTTTTTACCAAAAGCAAGTTATTTCAGTGAATAAGATTGAATTCAGAGAAAACATAAAGCCATTCGACCAACTATATTGTTACTTTTAAAACCATTCTTGGAAAGTTTAAGTCCACCCACTTTGAGTAAGCTTTTGCGAAGTGTTTAAAAACAGGTTCAATATGACTTGACTAATCAAATTTTAATGTGAACCTCTAATGCTTTCTGAATAATGAAATCATCAGGAGATTTCAGTGTAAACCAATCTGGTCGGTTTCCTGAAAAGACTTTATGGTTGAAGAAGAAAATCAAGTATTCAGTTCAACATAAATTAGCATGTCATGCAAGCAATAAAACCAGCATCAAGCACACCAGCAGTAGACAGCAGCGGAGTAAAGATCCCTCAGCTCCATTCATTTCTTTTAAGAACATCGCTGTTCCACCAGTGTGATACTTGTACTTTTCCTAAAAACTATACTCACCAAGCATCTGGGTGAGTCAACTAATCTGGTGCTAATCTGTGCTGAACAATAGGAGAATTAATCGAAGTGATTAGTTAAGTGTCTGAAAATATCATTATAATGGAAAGAAATTAATGACTAAAGCTTGGGTTCTGTAACCTCACTGAACAAACTTTGTTGAAAAGCTCAGAACAACAACAATTTACATTTATACAACAACAACAAAATTACATTTGTATAACGCCTTTCACATAGGGAGTACATTCCAAGGCACTGGACAGTCAGTGTTTCAGACCCGAGCTGGGGGGTCGGGATTGGGGAGGGTGATCAAAAGCACAGTCAAAGAGGAGTGTCTTGAGATGGATCTTGAAGGAGGCAAGGGAGAGAGTGAGGTGGAGGGAATAATTTATAATTTTATACAGCACAATTCACATCAGGGAACATGGCTGAGTGGGAGTCTGAGCTGATGGGGAGGGTAAAGTTTTGGGAGATTGGAAGGTGGCCAAACAAACTAAAATTACAAGCAAATCTATTTCCTTTTGTGTAAAATTACAAGAAAATTTATTGGTGTCTGGATCCATGTCTGGATCAATTGCTCAGAGCTTCTGGCTAGCTGTACATTGAGTATATCTTAATTGTTCCTCAAATCTTGAACTGATTACGCATCCCCATGAGTCACACAATGATACACGTGGACTGTTTCAGGAACTTTGCAGTTTGTGGCTACTGTTGACTATCACTGAATGGCACAAACTGCTACTTATGATCATCATAATACAGAATGATAAAGCAGGCATTTGCCCCATCAAGTTTACCCTGGTCTTTTTTCGCCAATTCTATCTGTGGTAGCACATTACAAACCTCTACTTACAAAGGCAATAAGATCAACTAATTGAGAAACATAAATGTATAGAAATCTACAGCGGAGAAAGAGGCTATTCAGCACATCAAGTCTGCACCAGCTCACAGAGCATGGAGACCAACTCAAACCAACTGCCCCATCTTATCCCCATACCCTTCAATGAGAGTGATTCGATTTAACTAAAATATATTAGGCACTTCTCAAACAAATTCATTTTTATTGAGTAATTATTTTTCACTGGGATATATTTGATAATTTGCCACTAGAACATTGATTATCCTACATTAGGCACCTGTTTTATGACAATAATTGTAATAATAATCCTTCCAATTGATATAACGCTTTACTACATCGTCAAGTGCTTCACAATAGTTTTACTGTGAAGTGTAGTGACTGTATATTGCAGGTGAATGGGGCAGCCAATTTGTGCACACCAATGTCCCACAAACAGCCATTAAATGGATGACCATTTTATCTGGGGGATGTCCAGGACACTAGGAGAAACTAGGAGATACTCCCATCTCTTTTTGATTAGTGCCATGGGATCCTTAACCTCTATCTCAACAGACAGATAAAACCTTGCTTTAAACGTTTAACCTGAAGAATAATACCTCTGACAATATTTTGCCCATAAAATATAAAGTCAATTTACCTTACAGTATATTCTGTGAAGCGCTTTGAGACATCTCGAAGATGTGATAAGGCGGTATATCAAATGCAAGGATTAATAATGCTCCTGCAGCACCTTAGCACTGTGTGGGATTGTCCGTCTTGACTGAGGATTCAAAGTCCCGATGTGGGCTTGAACCCAACCTCAGAGATGAGAATGCTACCAACTGAGCCAGCCTGAGACTTGATACCAAAACTTAGCATTAGCCTGTAAGACAACAACAACAATAATAAGATTGCATTTATAGAGCGCCTTTCACGTCGGGAGGACGTTGCAGGGCGCTGGACAGTTGGGTCGGGACCTGAGCAGGGGGGACATGGTCAGGGTGAGGGGAGGGAAGGGAGGGAGTAAGGAGGGGGTAGAGAGTCGAGAGGGGAGCTGAAGGAAGGGCTGAAGAGAAAGGTCTTGAGACCGGCCTTGAAGGAGGAAACGGAGGAAGCGGCGAAGGCACTGGAGGATGGAGTTCCAGAGCCTCGGGGCTGAGAGGCTGAAAGCCACCGATGGTAGGGCGGTTGGGGCGGGGGATGTGGAGCAGACCGGAGCCAGAGGAACGGAGGGTACGGGCAGGTACCTGGGTGGGATAGTAGGTCGGAGAGGTAGGAGGGAGCGAGGCCATGAATGGCCTTGTAGGTGAGGATGAGGATCTTGAATTTGAATTCCCACAAAGACCTTTGTAATGGGAAGACATCATGGAAAATTTAACAGAAAATGCTCAGAAATAATGCCTAAATCTAATCTTCACATGGAAGCTGCTTTTTAAGAATGTCTGAAACCAAATTAAGTTTGGTTTAAAAACATCCATACTTCTGTGCCATTTCACATGAAATTTTAAGAGAAAATTGCCTTCAGGCTAAGGACTAGGTGAAATTTTGAGGCCGCTGAAGCTTACACATGAAACATAGATTTGGGTTGTGACTAACTCTGTGCAAAACAAAGTGCCAAGAAGCTGCAAATGATGCGTGATACCATTTTCATCAACTCACTTATGTGCACCTGTGCTATCAGAATTCCCTTAAGTAATTTCTGTAAATTTTCAGCCTTAAATGAGCTGTTATTTGATCATATTCACACACTGAGCCACCAGATTATACACTAAAACAAGCCAACATCATATCCAGGGGCTCTGAAGTATTAATCAGCTCACTGAGGTTTCTTCACACTATGCAAAATAATGGGGAGAGCTAATGCATTTTAATTCCTATGCCAAATGATTGATTGATTGATTTTGGCTGTTTCTGCCATGCCATGATGTGATTAATACTTTTATTAATTTTATTTTTCATACTGCATTATATGGATTTTGGAGTAAACACGACGGGAGAAAATCCTTTTCAGCTATGCAATAAAAATATTTCAGCCTATTATGCTTTCCGATTCATTAAGATGTAATGATGTTTTTATTTCTGTCAACAAAATGTTGAGTTTGCATTTATTTTAGCTTCTTAAAAACAACATTAAAAAATGTACAACAGAAAATTGGAATTATCACAGCAAAAATAACAAATTGTATTTATATCAAGCCTTTCATGTCGGGGGGACGTCCCAAGGTACTGGACAGTCAAGGGTTTGCACCTGAGCTGGGGTGCATTCGAGAGTGGTGGGGGCCAAGGGTGTGGAAGATGACGGAAGGTATAATAAAACAGGAAACCACAAAGGCTTTGGGAAAGCTAAATTCTATATAAACATGTTATATATTGATGTGGCAGTCTCTCCGCAGTTTACAAGAACTGTCTTTCCTTTTGCCTTTCAGGTGGGAAATCTTGGCTTATTGTTCATGCTCTTATTTTTTATCTATGCGGCTCTAGGGGTTGAACTCTTCGGTAAACTGGGTGAGTTAAATCTCTTTGGTTGGCTTAATCTCGTTAATACAGAGTCATACAGTACTTAACATTTGCAACATTGCATGCTTTATTTTGAAGTTTAAATACATTACCTCCCTTTCAATGTGTACTTCAGCCTACAGTACACAAAACAATGATCATTTCAAATATGTAATGATTGTGAAGGTTTGCCACAGATTCCTATAAAAATTCAAGCCTGAACATTGGGGCAAAATAACAGGCAATTTAGAGGGAAAGGGATTGCAAGCCATTTGAAGCCAGGGTGGTGCAGTAATGGCTATATGTTTTTTTGTCTTTCAGTTTGTAACGATGAAAACCCATGTGAAGGACTGAGTCGACATGCAACGTTTGAGAATTTTGGAATGGCTTTCCTGACTTTATTCCGTGTTTCCACCGGTGACAACTGGAATGGAATAATGAAGGCATGTAATTAGTTCTGTTGAAATGTTAAGTTCAAGCATTAGTAATGCACTAGAAACCTAGTAATTAGAATGTCCTAGTGGAAATTAAACGGTCCCATTTATCACTATTTATACTCAAAGTCACTTTGCTTTGTGTCACTAATGATTATCAAGTATCTGCATACAATCCGTTAAGAATATGCCAGTGAAATGTTCTAAATTGTAAATGGCTCTGGGTAATCTGTGTGTCTTACCATTGACTGCTGGAGAGATATCTAATTGGAGGTGGCTACCTCCAATTAGAAGGTTTAAGGGTCTTGTTAAATAGTATTAAACCCTCAGAGGTGGTTTGCTAGGTACAATTGTGGTGTGATGGAATGATGTTGCCAGGTCCTGGCAATTTTGATCTATCATTTCACTTGCAGTCACACCCAATCTCAGGTACACTCTTTGGCATAGAGCACAGCATAGGTGAATCCCTACAGGAAGCAAGAAAAAAAAAGTGAAACTCGAACTGCTCCCAGCTCCCTCTCTGCAAAGTTCTCTGAGATGTTTTCACAAGATCACAAAATGGCAAAATTGGTCTGGATGAAGAAGGCCTTTTGGCCCACCTAATCCTCCAGAACACCTACCCTACCATACCACCCATCAAGCTGTTTGAATGAGTTCACTGTCCTGACCTCGAACCCCTTTCCAGGCAAACAGTTCCAGTCATTGATTCGTCTCTCTATCCTGCATGAAAGATGGTATATAAGTGCAAATTGTTTTTCATGTCAATTTTACAGAACTAGGATCAACTAACCTAGGATCAGCGATTTGCTAACACACCTACTACAATATCTTAACTGCAGGCAAACTCAAGACAGCTGAAATTGTATTGGAGAAATTGATGGGAAAGTACAGTTCAAAAAAAAAAGTAATTTAACATATGATGGGAATGCCTCCAAACAATTGGGTGTGAATTCAAAGAAATGCATCACACTGCAGATTGAAACGCATCACACTTTGACAGCAGCTACAACAGGTACAGGAGGTGACAGGCAAATGTCCCATAACCACACTAACAGTGCGGTAGAGCCAATTCCTTTTGAACTCTTCTCCTCAAGCTTTTCAGCTTAATGTTCTGGTTAATTGCAGTACTGCCTTACTTTTAAAAATATTGAGGGCAATAACCATCTTGGTAGCATATGCGGCTTTCTCTATTTCAGCTGTTGGTTGCTCAAGAGGTTTGAGTCGGCAGAGTTTAAACTTTGCCATTGCACCACCATGCCTTTGGGCCATTTCAGCTGATAGCATTTCTCTCTAGGTGATGACCGCTACATTTACTGCATGGGCTCAGGATATGAAGTGACCTTCACAAGAGAAGCTTCTATTTTTTCTTTTAAAATGGGACGAGGTCTGAGTAAATTGTCTGCAAGGATGAGTGAAACGGATTTATAAACAACAGGAAGCAGCAGATTATAAAAGCTCTCAAGTCAGTGCCCTACGAGGAGATAACAGTAATTAAAATTCTACATTGAGTCACCCAGGAGAAGTAAATGCTTACTCGTAGGAACATAGTAGAGAATAAAACTGATTAAACCGAGTAATCCACACCTGGAATTATGGATTTATTGAGAATAAATAACAAGGATTTAATTTACTTCAGAGGTTCAGGAGGTTATCAAAAATCAGACTTTTTATATTTTGATTCCAGAGCTTCAATCTGCGGAGTTGATTCTTTTCTTTGGTCAGTCAGGTGCCTGACCCATGCAGAAGAGAATCCAGAATCCATCCTTAAGAGAGAATCCAAACCAGTAATGTCAAACTTCAGCCATTTAACTTTGTGTCTGACGTTTTGGAAGGAATTTGCAACAGCTCAAGTTCATGGAATGCAAGTGCTTCTGAGAGGGTATGGTTTCAAGCCACCCCACTGTTAAGTGCACTGTTATGTTGCCCAGGTGATTATAATAATATGCAACTTCAAAACAGGAACATAAGGAGCAGGGAGAGCCTTGTACATGTTAGAATTACTTTTGTTAAAAGGTGATTGTCTCTTTTTCCTGTATTTTCCCAGGACACTCTGCGTGAGTGCAGTGGAGAGGACAAGAGCTGCCTCACCTACCTCCCCTATTTCTCTCCTGTGTATTTTGTCACATTTGTTCTGATCGCCCAGTTTGTGCTGGTTAACGTGGTGGTCGCCGTGCTGATGAAGCACTTGGAGGAGAGCAATAAAGAAGCAAAGGAGGATGCAGAGCTCGATGCAGTGATTGAGCTGGAGATGTCACGAGGGCTTGGGGCGTCAAGCAGCAGTATTGGGCGTACGCCTGTACTTGAAAACAGAACTCTGCACCCTGGGCAGGAGTCAATGAAAAGCGAATCACCAGTGCATGTAAAACAAGCCACAGTAAGTGTGATTAATGGCTTAAAAAAGCTATCAAAGGTAACTCGACACTAACAATCTATTTAGAGAGAGTTTCAGACTAGCAAGCCCTGTTACTGTTGCTCAAAATGTGGAGCATCAAAATATAATTAAAAGAACAATATAAAGGGGGGGTTATTTCACTGTTAAGTGTAGTGCATTGTTATTCTGTTCTGATAAGTCAGTGCACCATGCCTTTCCCAAACTGTTTCAGCCTTTCCTCAAGGAATGCATAATGTTGCTTTCTTGAGACCAGTACTGATGTGAACTTGACATTCAAGTTAGCTGTCAAGCTAAACTTACTTAGTTTGTACCCCGATGAACCCAGGTTTGTAGTTGAATGATTAAATTAGTTCTATCGGACTCGAAAGTTGCTCAGCTAAGTTCATCATCATTTAAATAAGCACGTGGTGATTTTCAATGTTCACCTTTGTGTCTTGTGTTTTTTTGTCGGATTGCTCAGTTAAGTCAGTTGGAGCTTAGTGACAGTAATGCCAATATACCTGTTTAATCTCCATATGGGCTGCATGAATTTGTTTAGGTGACAGCCTCAGTTGGTAGCATCCTCAGCTCTGAGTCAGAGAGCTGTGGGTTCAAACAACATGTCAGGAATTTGAACTCACAAGTCTAGGCTGACACACCAATGCAGTGCTGGGGGTGTGCTGCATTGTTAGAGGTTCTGTCCCTCAGATGATACATTAAACCAAGGTCTTGTTTGCCTGTTCAGGTGGATGTTAAAGATTCCTTGACACTATTCACAAAGAGAAGGGAGTTTCTTCCAGTGTCCTGGCCAGCAATCCCCCAGATAAAATTGGTGATTCACTTCATGGCTGTTTATGCATCAATGGCTCTCAGGTTTGCCTACAAAATACACAGTCACTATACTTCACAGCAAATCTCATGAAGCACTGGATGTGAAAGGGACTATATCAAAAGTAAGAATTTGTTTTGGACTTACAGAATTTTAATCACAAGAGAACCCTTTAGAAAATAACTTTTTGACTGAAGGTTATTATAAATAATATATGAATCTTCAATTGGAATTTATGTCTAGGACTGTAAGGCATGTAATATGCTGTTCTCAGGGCTGTCAGTACATCATTTCAATTTGAAGCAGGAGAGAAAAGCTAAGTAAGCATCCCATTCTGGTTTGTCTATAATGGCACGCTGTTAAAATGCTACACAACAATACTGAATCCTCCAGTGCCTCCATACATCTTGCTCTGTACAAAATGCTTGAAGAACAAGAGCCTCTGGTCCAAATTCTATATACTGTACTCAAATACTGAAAGTGGAATGCACAGTAGAACAAGCCATTTTATATTAAAATTTAAGATTCTTTTTACCAGCTATAGGGAAAAAAAGACTTCCAATTTAAGAATTTTTCACAATTCAGCAGCATCTTGTCAGACTCTGTCACTGTGAAGTGCTCCGGGACGCTACCCCACCATGAAGGGCGCTATATAAATGCAAGTTGTTGTATCTTAAATTTTAAGACAAAATAGTCTTAAAACCCAAGACCAGACAGGCCTTCAGGCCTTGCATGTTCTTTTTATGCTAAACATTGCCACAGAGAGTTAAGTGTTGAATAATAAGAATAATCCTTGCATTTGATGTAGCACTTTACCACGTCTTTGAGACGTCTCAAAGCGCTTCACAGAACATACTGTAAAATGAATTGACTGTATATTTTGTGGGCGAAACGCGACAGCCAATTGTGCAAGCAGTGTCCTACAAACAGTCTTGGATTGAGTGACCAATTTATTATTTTTTTAAGGGATTATTACCCCCGGAAAAGCGATCCGCTAATCGACTAACAATCAGATTCCTACTTACTGCTAGGTAAACAGAAGAGTGTGGAGTAAGGAAACCTGCCCAGCATTTCACCCAGCCAGGAATTGAACCCAAGTCTCTCGATTGCGAGGCGAGTGCTTTAACCACTGAGCTACAGGACTCCACACAGGCTTTACATCCAACTCAACTTAATTTCTGATTATTTTGATTAGTATTCTCTGCAGTGGCTGTCATTAATTAGTACCCACGTATATTAACCTTTGCAAATCATTTCCAGTATGTTACTACTAAGATATCTATGTCAGATTTGAACAGAAGCTTCTGATTGAAACAATGTTGTTTCTAAAACAATCATGGAGAATCTGGACAGAAGTAAAATCATAAATGATAGCCAATATGGATTCATGAAGGGAAAGTCTTGCCAATCTAATTTACTGTTTTTTTTACTGTGTGACAAGGGAGCTTGATAAGGGTAAGGCTGTGGATGTCATATATCTGGATTTCAGTAAGGCCTTTGATACAGTTCCTCTTGAGAGGCTGGTACTGAAAGTAAAGAAAGCGGGAATCATTGGAGATATATTACAATGGATACGCAATTGGTTGACCATAAGAACCCAGAGGTACAAGGAATGTCATCAGAAGGGAAAATGTTACAAGTGGAGTTCCATAAGGGTCTGTTTTTGGACCTCTTTTGTTTAATATTTTTATAAATAATCTAACTAAGAGACGCAAGCACAGTGGCTAAGTTTGCAGATGGCACCAAGCTAATGAAGGTCGTAGACTGCAAAGCTGAACAAGATAAGTTACAGGAGGATTTGAACATACTTGGGAAATGGGCAGATCGGTGGCAGATGAAATTCAATGTGCAGAAATGTAAAGTGCTTCATGTGGGGACAAAAAATCCTGGAAGGGACTATTATTTGAATAGAAGGAAAATAATATATGTGGAAAATGGACCTGGGGTTCCTGATTGACAATAAATTGTAGCTCTCCCAACAATGCTCTGTGGCAGTGAGTAAAGCAAACCAGATATTGGGATGTATCAAAGATCAATAGCAGCTGAAATTGTGGGGTAATCCTGCCGCTGTATAAATCATTGGTGAGACCATACTTAGAGACTGTGTACAGTTCTGATCACCGCAGTACAGAAACGATGTTGGAGAAATTGAGAAGATGCAGAGGAGGACAACTAAAATGATTGAGGGAATGGAAGGCCTGGACCATGAGGAGCGACTAAGTAAACTGGGCATGTTCACGCTGGAAAAGAGAAGAGTGAGATTGCTGTCTGTAAGATTCTAATGTGGTTGGACAATATACATCATGACAGGCTTTTTTACTTGTTCAGAATAGTAAAACCAGAGGACACGGCCTACAATTGAAGGGGGTAAATTCAGAACAAATCTACACAAACATTATTTCAGTGAGTGAATAGTGAACCTGTGGAACAGGCTCCCTGGGGAGACAGTTGAAGCAGAAAGTGTTGATTCGCATGGATAATCCCAGAACTGAGAGGTTATATCTATCAAGAAAGGCTGAACATGCTTGGACTCTTTTCTCTTGAGGGGTTGACCTGATAGAGGTCTTTAAATTTATGAAAGGTTTTGATAGGGTAGATATAGGGAAGATGTTTCCACTTGTGGGGAAGACCAAAACCAGGGCCATCAATATAAAATAGTCACAAATAGATCAGATAGGGAAGTTAGAAGAAATGTCTTCACACAGAGAGTAGTGGGAATGTGGAACATGCTGCCGCAAGGAGTTGTTGAGGCAAATAGCACAGATGTATTTAAGGGGAAGCTGGATAGGTACATGAGGGAGAAAGGTATAGAAGGTTATGCTTGAAGGCTTAGTTGAGGAAGGGCAGGAGGCTCATGTGGAGTATACACACCGGCATAGACCAGTTGGGCCGAATGGCCTGTTTCTGTGCTGTATATTCTAATGTATTCTTTCAAACACAGATTAGATAGTTTTCTTTAGGCAATAATATTATGGGATATAGTACATAAGTAGTTTGGGATATATGTACATGCGACCACCAGGAAGGTGGAAGGCAAACTAGATGGACCTTGGTCTTTTTTCGTCTAGCATTTCTTATGTTCTTAATGCTACGCCACTATTTTAGTTTACACATTGGGGGCAGGGAATAAATGATATTGAATAGATAACATGTATTATTGATGGATCTCATGTTGTGGTGAGCATTCACATTATTAATGTCTATTTATTATTTAATACAGATTTACAGCACTAACTGGTGCTGCAGGGAATCCACTTTTCAAGCACTTAATGCATTGCAAAATGAATAAAAAATTAACATGTGGCATTCTTTATTTCTTCTCCCATTCGTCTATGCAAAAACAAATCCTGTTGCTTATCAATGTTTTGGCCACTAAGCCACATAACATGTTTAGGAACATCTATGAAGCCTTTCCTTTCTGATGAAGTCCTGTTCATCTTGTTGGGAACTACTGATGTGAATGCTGATCACTGCACGATTCTTATCTGTGCAGAAAAGGTCTTTCAAAGCTTCCTAAGCGTGCATTTTACACTATCCTTAATGAAACGTTGCATCAATCAAATTCATACTTTCAGCAGATTTCAATAACAGCATAAATAGACTACAGTGATATTTGCCACTACACCATCATCCAAGTTCAGAGTAGAACAATTTATATTAAACAGAAGCAAGCTTGTTCTCCCATTGCTATGAATGACATGCCTTTAGCAACCTGACTTTAATTTTAAATGGATTATGAAAAATGAAAACAGGTGGCTTGTCTCCAGCTATTCTTCTATGAGATCATGAATTGCATTTCCAATTACAGTTGAGTGTAAAAGGTTATTCCTGATAGCGCAGAGCTGGTTTAATGAATTAACTCAGTATTCGAATCTTGAAATGGTGTTGAAGCATGCTGAGTAGAGTATTATTGCCAAAAGTCTGTCTCTCTAGTGTGAAGGTACCTTAAATTTATTGTGGGCACCAGTGACTGGAGTATTTTATTATTCTCTACGTTAGAAAACTGTAACTTCTGCAGGTTCAAATGATTTCCTTCAAATTTGAGGACTTGAAAAAANGCCTGGCCCAGAATAATTAAATCAAACTCAGATTAGAATTCAAATCAAACTGCACCTAAACTTTGCTGAATTAGCTAAACAGCATCCATCCTTCTCTGGGGAGAAAGTGTACACGCCATACTTTTTAGGAACTCCTAAACTCCCACTTTCTACTGAGCATTCCTCAGTAGAATGAATTAACAGAATAAAAGTTTCCATAATTCCATGCTAATATAGCAATCTGATTTAGCAGAACCATAAAGAAGGATATCTAACAATAATACTTTCATTTGATATAACATTTCAATGCCTTACCACATTGAAACGTCTAGAGGTATTTGAAGCGTAGTGACTGTGTTCTTAGAGGCAAACATGGTAGCCAATTTGCAGAGCAGTGTACCAATTTTATATATAGAGGCCACTAGGCAAGGACATTGGGAGAAATTTGCCTCTCTTTTCAAATAGTGCCATAGATCTTCAGCATCCATCTAAACACATTCAGGACCTCAATAAAGTCTCATTTACAGGATAGCACCTTCGACACTACAGTGCTGTTTCCGACCACCCCAGCAGTGGACAGGAATATTGTGTGTTATATTGTGAACTAATAGTACCAATGTGGGGCTTTAACTCACAGGTCTAAAAGGTGAGAGTGTTCCAAGTAACACCTGAGTTGGAAATGTAAAGTGTCATTGTAGTGTGTGAATGTTGTACTGAAGTCGGGGTCAAGAAACACAGACGTAGTGTCTGGCAGTCAGTTTAAAATCGACTTAGTGGGAGATATTTTAATTTTCCTTTACTGTGGAGACCTGCCACTTCTAATCTCCGTGCACAAAACTAGGAACTGTGCTGCTGACATTGGCGACAGCACCTGTCAGTGAGTAACTCCACTGGAAATCCCACTAGACAGCAATCTAAAATAATCCTGGCTGCCAGTTGTAAGACTGCAAAACCTCAATGTAAGGCAATACTCTGCAGGTAGAAAGTTCATATACAATTTGGTGAGGCTTCGTTATAATTTTCTCCATGTTGCTTTGCTGGGAGGAGGACTTTATATTGAAAATCACTTCACATTATGGTTGCCTTCACTTTTCCGCTGACTTCAAATACAGGCTATTATTAATAATTTATCATTTATAAATATTGCATTGGATGGACTTCCCCCACTTTCTAGTAGTTTTGATTTTTTTTAATAGGAATATATTGTATTTCTTCTAATGGGATGCACCAATAACACAACAACTTGCACTTATATAGCGCCTTCCACGCAGGGTAGCGCGTCAGAGCGCTTAACAGTGCTGGAGCCTGACTCCGAGCCGGGGGTGGGGGGAAGTGACCATAAGCACGGTCGAAAAGGATGGTTTTCAGGCAGAACTTGAAAAAGGGGAGAGAGGGGGCAAGGCAGAGGGATTGAGGGAGAGTGTTCCAGAGTTTCGGGGCATAGTGGCTGAAAGCACGACCTTCAATGGTGGAGCGGAGGGTGAGAGGGATGAGCAGTCGAGTGGAGGTGGATTGAGATCGAAGAGGGAGGGAGATGCCAGGGAGTGAATGGATTTGAACATGAGTGCGAGGATCTTGAAGTCGATGTGTTTGGTGATGGGGAGCCAGTGGAGCCTGGGCCAGAACTGGTGAGATGTGGGTATGGAGTTTGGTCGGGGTAATTTTGCGGGCAGCAGAGTTCTGAATGAGCTGGGGAGACTGGCAAGAAGTGCATTTGAGTAATCCAGGCAGGAGGTGACAAACGCACGCATGAAGGTTTCTGCTGCATTTGTGGTACGGTACGATCAGAGACAGGCAATGTGGTGGAGGTGGAAGAAAGCGGTCCTGGTCAAGGACCGGATGTGGAGAAGGAAGGACAACGAACCGGACGCCTAGATTGCGCACTGGTTCAATGAGTCTGAATGAGAGCCCAGGGAAGTTGAGAAGGTCAGATCCGCAGGAGTGAAGACGTTGACGGGAGTCGAGGAGTATGGCTTCCATCTTGTCCATATTCTGTGTGGGGTGTGGGGGGGAGACCAGCATCCAGCAGAGAGCCGAGGTTACCAGTGCTCTGTTATCTGTCTGACATTCCACATTAATCCAGCTTTATATTTAATGCTGCCGCTAACACAATGTTGCTCCCTCCCACCTCTCTCTCCCTCCCTCTCCCTCCCTCTCTCTTTCTCTCTCTCCCTCACTCTCCTTTCCTCCCCACCTCTCCCTCCCCACTCTCTCCCTCCCTCCCTCCCTCACTGACACAACTGTAACCAGCTCTCTCCCTGGGATTTACTGGAAAAAGCTACAGGAGCCAAGACACTGAATCTTTGTGCTTTCTCCCCCATCCCTCATCGTGAGGTTTGTGTGTATTTCCTGTCCCCTTTGTGTTCACACAGTATTTAAAAAAATAATAATAATAATTTAGTCACTCAATCCACGACTGTATGTGGGGCTCTGCTGTGCTCAATTGGCTGCCACGTTTCGCCCACAAAATACACAGTCACCACACCTTAAAGTATATGCTTTAAGGTGAGACAAGCTGATAGAACATCAGGGACCTGGAGTCGATACTGGAGGAGGCAAAGTAGATTTGTGTGTCATCCGCATATGTATGGAAGTTTACCCCGTGTCTGCGGGTGACATTGCCCAGAGGGAGCATGTAGATGAGGATGAGGATGTAGATGAGGAAAAGAAGAGGCCAAGGATGGAGCCCTGGGGTACCCCACAGGTGACCGGGCGGGGATGGGAGGAGAAACCATTTGTGAGATGAAGTGGAGGCGGTTGGTTAAGTAGGATTCGAACCATGCGAGTGCAGTCCCACTAAGGTGGATGAGGGAGGAGAGCCGATAGAGGAGGATGGCGTGGTCGACTATGTCGAACGCAGCAGAGAGATCCAGGAGGACAAGGAGGCAGAGAGAACCCTGGTCACAGATAGAGAAGACGTTGTTTGTGACTTTGGCAAGCGCTGTTTCTGTGCTGTGGGCAGTCAGGGAGAAAACCAATGTTACCAGTGCTCTGTTATCTATCTGACGTTCCCCATTAATCCAGCTTTATATTTAATGCTGCCGCTAACACAATGTTAGCTAACACAATACTAACACTGCAGGAATTCGAGGAGGGAGTGGAGGGAGAGGTGTGACCGAAGTTGACCTGCAACAATGCGTCCCAGGACTTTCGCAAGGAAGGGTAGTTTGGAAATGAGATGTTAGTGTGAGAGATTGGAGGGTGTTTTTCTTGAGGAGGGGTGTGAAAACAGAAGTTTTCAGGGGGAGTGGAACAGAGCCTGAGGGGAGAGACTGGTTGATCATGTCGGCCAGCAGGGCGGAGAGGAGTGGGGAGTTGAGTGACCAGCTGGGTGTCCATGTGCCCATATTAAGTGCTCAAACACAGGTAGTACTGAGATGTTTCTCCATGTTGTGATCCTATTTGTGGTCCACACAAATGTCAGAAACAAGCCCAGACTGAACATGAACAATTAATTTTTATATAAGTGAGATGGTGCTGAGATATTGATGAGTTGGTTTCTCCTTTTCTATCTGTGACTGTTACACAGAAATAATAATAATCCTTGTATTTGATACAGCACTTTTCACATCAGGAGGACATCTCAAAGCATTTCACAGAATTTTACTCTAAAGAGTGGATTTACTCTAAAGACTCTGGATTTTTTTAGGTGAAAGTGGGAGTAAAATTATGCACAGCAGGTTCTCACAAACAGCCATGAAGTGAATGTCCAGTTTTATCGGGGGATTGTTGGTCTCTGGCCCAGACACCACAAGAAACTCTCTTCATTTTTCAAATAGTATCATGAGATCTTTTACCTCTATCTGAACATGTAGCTGGAATGAGACGTCTCATCCAAAGGAATAGACCTACAACAATGTAATAATCCACTCACACAGCATTAGTGTCTGAGTTCAGAATCCCCACATGACTGGCTATAATATAATACATAATATAACGAGTGCTATAATAACCGATTAACTGCTGTTAAATCTAAAGTATCATGCGCTAATTTAGAAAAATCAAGTCCTTCAATTCACGTTCTGTGTCAAACAAGTTCACTATCAGTTTCTACCTTTTGATACTTCACTCCCTGAAGTCTCTTTTAGACTCAGTGTGGGTATTAAAGCACTGATCTACTTATCATGAGTCCAAGATTGGATAATAGAAGTAACTTATACAACAACAAGACTAAATGTGTATAGCGCCTCTCACGTCTGGAGGACGTGCTAAGGTGCTGGACAGTGTACAGCATTTCAGACCCAAGCTGGGGTCAGGGAGGGAGAAGGGAGGGGAGGGGAAGGGGGGTGACCGATGGCATAGGCGAAGAGGAGGGTCTTGAGGTGGGACTTGAAAGAGGCTAAGGAGGGGGTGAGGCGGAGTGATTGGGGGATGGAATTCCAGAGGTTGGGAGCAGAGGGGTTGAAGGCTCTCCCGCCAATGGTGGGGCGGGTGGGTCGGGGGACATGGAGCAGCCTGGAGCCGGCTGAGAGGAGGGAACGGGCGGTTTGGTAGGGGGTTAGGAGATCGCAGAGGTAGGGTGGGGTGAGGCCATAGAGGGCTTTGTAGGTTATACAGTCTCTCTTTGAAATTTTTTATACACAGGGAGATCCTCGATACAACAAGCTGGTGGTAGAGGATAAGAAGGAAAATTTACTTACAGTCCGGAAGGTCTCGGTATCTCGAATGCATTCCTTACCAAATGACAGTTACATGTTCCGCCCCGTCAGACCAGCACAAGCTCCCTTCCCCTTGCCTGAGAGTGAGCTGTATCAAGGGACATCACCTACAGGTATTTATTTTTTTAAAAATGCTGTTGAGAATTGGTAACACATAAATAGTTGAGATGTGATTGGTGGCGTATTTAATTCCAATTAAAGGTTTAATGTACATGCTTATGTTGTATCACTAATGTTTCCTTGACTATAATGTTGTGGTGCAGCCTTACTTTTGGTGGCAAAGGATGAAGGATGTGTGATTGAGATAATCTTTCTAAACTGAGCAGTGTGTACAGTAACAGCCAAAGCAACGAACAAGTTACAGTTGTATCACTTACTCCTTATTTTATTGTGCTTTATTTCCCTCCTCACTATTCCCTAGCAGGGACAACAGGAAGGTAAGCCACTGTAAGGCTTCTGCTGCTATTGATTTGGCACTGGGAGTAATGCAAGAAAGGTCCAGGGTGATTCAGAGTGATTTAACACCTCTTCCCACAGGAATGCTGATCCTCTGCTCGATTTGCGCCACCTCCCATCCTCACTCCTGCTTTCCCTTCCCCTTCCCATGGAATGACTGACTTTGGAAACCTGGCACATAATGAATGCATTCATGATTTCTTGGTCACACGGTGCATTGAGACATCTGTACACTCAACAACAACAACAACTTGGGTGTATGTAGCGCCCACCACGCCGGCCGGCGCCTCAGAGCGCTTTACAGTAACGGATCCCAGGATCGAGGGGGAGGAGCCGGGGGAGGGGGAGGAGCCGGGGGAGGGGGAGGAGCGAGGGGGAGGAGGGAGGGGGAGGAACCAGGGGGAGGGGGAAGGAAGGTGACCAAAGGCACAGTCGAAAAGAAAGGTCTTCAGCAGAGACCTGAAAATGGGAAGGGAGTGAGGAAGGGAGTTCCAGAGCCTCGGGGCATAGTGGCTGGAGGCACAGCTGCCGGGGGTGGAGCGGAGGACTCGGGGGGGGGGGGGGGGGGAAAGGAGGAGGCCAGACCCGGAGGAACGAAGGCAACGGGTACTGTTTTGAGGAGAGAGGAGGTCAGAGAGGTCGGGGGGTGCAGAGGAGTGGAGGGACTTAAACACGAGGGTGAGGATCTTGAAATCGAGATCTGTTGAAACTGAGCATCTATTGCTCAGTTAAAGTTTCTAATGCATCACACTGTGTGAATGAGGCTGAATGTCAGGTGTTTTTGCCCATAAGTTAATTTAGTAATAGTAATACTGATGATACTAATCAACGCCCAATAAACATCATGCACACTCATCTGGCACCTGCCCAGCAGCACCCTTTGATAGACTCATAGAGATATTTCTCCATCTTTCTCAGCGCACAGCCACTCTTAAGTGTCATTTCCATGGCATCCATCAAGCATGCTTCATGCTTCATGTTTCATGACCAAGGGCCATTGAGCAGCTCCATTGTCTGCGATGTGCATTTGATGTAGATGTGACAAGGCAACAGATTCCTGATCTAATCAGCCACAGAGCGTATTTGGGAAGCATGCGTTAATGGAAAGGGTGCTTGAACATTTCTTGCAGAATGACCGCTTTATTATTTCACAACATCCCCAACTGAAACATTATTTAATTTTTTTTTATCATTTAGGGTCTGTGACTTCAGTCCAGTCCCAACCTGTTGAAGTCTCTACACACCTTGAAGTTCCTTCCAACTGTGTTCAGCATAGCTTTGCTTCCAGAAGCCAAGGCCTCAATACCCTCCCTAAAATACCTCCACCACAGAGAATGCCAAGATCTCCCAGTGTAAACAGGCTGCTACGTAGACAGGTATGAATGGCTTCTATATAAAAAAAATCACTTTTGTGGAGCAGACTACAGATTTCATGCACTGTTGGCTCAAAATAGAATTCGGCAAAACTTCTATGGATTTCTCCTTTTTTTTCTATAATATTCGGGAATATAACTGTGCGCAATTGGCTGCCGCATTTTCGCCCACAAAATACACAGTCAATTCACTTTACAATATATTCTGTGAAGCGTTTTGAGATGTCTCAATGATGTGATAAGGCCCTATATCAAATGCAAGGATTATTATTATTATAAAAGTGACGTTCTTTCAGGTCAGTTTAAATACTTGCCCTTGCCTGGATCGAATCCTATCTCTCTCACCATCTCCACTTTGTTGCCTCTAACGGTTTCTCCTCCAGCCCCCGCACTGTCACGTCTGGCGTCCCCCAGGGCTCTGTCCTTGTCTTCTCTTTAATATCTACATGATCCGCATGACATCATCCGCAGACATGGGGTCAACTTCCGTATGTACGCGGATGACACCCAACTCTATCTTTCTGCCTCCACCCTCAACTCCAAGACCACTGCTGTCCTGACAGACTGTCTGTCGGACATCAAGTCCTGGATGAGGGCAAACTTCCTACAGTTGAATGTGAACAAGACTGAGGGCCTCCTGATTGGCTCTCACCAGCGCCTCCGCACCTCAGGCTCTGGCAGCATCACCCTCCATGGTTGCACACTTCAACTCACCAGCCAGTCAGGTACCGAGGTGTCTTGTTCGACCCTCAACTCTCTTTTCTCCCCCACATCCAAGCCATGACCCGCTCTGCCTTCCCTCACCTTCGTAACATCGCCCGACTCCGCCACTACCTCACCCCTCAGGCGCTGAAACTCTTATTCATGCCTTCATCACTCTAGGCTCGACTATGCAAATGCCCTACTTGTCGGCTTTCCCAACTCCTCCCTCCACAGACTGCAGATAATCCAGAACTCTGCAGCCCGTGTCCTCTCCTGCACCAAACTCCGTGACCTCATCCCTCCCATTCTCACCCGACTCCATTGGCTCCCTATCTTTCAGAGGATCCAGTTCAAGATCCTGGCCCTCACCTATAAAGCCCTCCATGGCCTCGCCCCACCCTACCTCTGCCACCTCCAAACCCCCTACCAACCCGCCCACTCCCTCCACTCAGCCGGCTCTGGCCTGCTCCACGTCCCCCGACCCACCTGCCCCACCATTGGTGGGAGAGCCTTCAGCCACTCTACCCCCAACCTCTGGAACTCCATCCCCCAATCACTCTGCCTCGCCGCCTCCTTCAAGATCCTCCTCTTCGACCATGCCATCGGCCACCCCCCTTCCCCTCTCCTCCCCCTCCTTCTCCCTCCCTGACCCCAGCTTGGTTTGAAATGCTGTACACTTTCCAGCGCCTTGGGACGTCCTCCCGACGTGAAAGGTGCATTACAAATGTAATCTTGTGGTTGTTGTTATTGTTTGTACAAAATCTATAGGGTGATATTCTGGGTCTAGTTTTATTCTATGCATGTAGAGTTTCAGAGCGTTCCCGAAATTGCCAAATTGTTGAATATGAAGCTGTTTGTTTTGTAGTTCTTAAAAGACCTAACAGGCAACAGACTTCAAAATCAAAACTGTGTATGAAAAAAATTACAAATTCCTGACACTAGGAAATGGTAGGAAAATAGAATATATCTAGACCCAGATGGGATTTCTCCCCACCATTGCTTTAATTGTTGGATCAAGTTTTGCATCCAGCATTGCCTATCAGGGCAAGTCTACAGTCTATACACACCATGTATCTGATTTGTGGTGACATTCCTATTGCACAATTAATCCTTGTAATCATCATTATGTTTCTTTTTTGATCACCACTAAGCTGATCATTGTGAAATTCTGTGACTAATATAAATTAATGGGATAAGCTTTCTGAAATGTTGAATTGTTTTTGTTTGTTTCCATTCTCTGTTCATCTAAAATATGAATTTATTTTAGTCATTTCCAATGGTTGAGATAGGGCTCGAGTTATACAGGTATCACACCACAAATATCTCATGGGAATTTAAAGTAATTTTATTCTCATCTCTGTATCAACACAATTTCATCCCAGAATTCTATTAGTAAGAGCACATGTGGGTAAATAAAGTAATTGCCTTGCCTGCATTGAATGTTCAGTGCCATTGTTCCACCACACGTTATTTGATGAGGACACAGTGATTTGCTGCTGTAGCGGGAGGAAAAGATTGGGGTTGAATAGTAAAGATGCAGGAGAGGGACAAATACCTGGAGTTTTTACATTGAGATTCAATACAGCATCTATATGTCATTACACTAAACACCTGGTACCATGTACTTTGAATGGGATGATGAAAAAGTACTTCTTACCTTAGATTTCCCCTCACCGTGAATTCCTTTTTTAGGCATCCCAAAGAGCTGCCAAGTGGAGGCTCAGTATTTCACCGCAGGGAAGGAAGAATCGCTGGACAAATACCAGCGGCCAAACCAGAGCAGGATAGGCTGGAGTCTGAAAGCGGGTCTTTGGCAATTTATTTTAGTGTTTCCATTTGGTAATGATTGATGACCAACTGAAAGTGCCTACAGCCTACAATTCTAATGAGTCAGTCATCTGTGATACTGAGCTATCCAGACCAGGATGGATACCATGTTCAGTGTATAATGACTTAGATTTTTACAGCACAATAACTGGCCATTTGGGCCTATTAGTCCGTGCCAGTGTTTGTGGAGTCCTGTAGCTTCGTGTTTAGAGCACTTGCCCTGCAAGCAACACAACTGGGGTTCGATTCCCAGGCAGGGAGACATGTTGGACAAGTTTCCTTATTCCACAATCTTCTGTTTACTTAACAATAAGTAGGGACCCGGTTGTTAGTCGATCGGCAGATTGTTTTTCCGGGTGTGATAATCCCTTCAAAAAAAATAATAATTTGGTCACACAATCCACGACTGTTTGTGGAACACTGCTATGGGCAATTGGCTGCTGCATTTTGCCCACAAAATATACAATCAAATTCACTTTACAGTATATTCTGTGAAGCGCTTTGAAACATCTCAAAGACACTGTATCAAATGAAGGATTATTATGCTGGAAATGAGCCTCCACACCTCATATCCCTCTCTTCTGCCTCAAACACGTTCAATTCCTGGACTTTAGAGGGCTGGCAGATTTCAGTTCCAATGGTATTGGGGTTACTGTAGTTGTTCTCAGCATCTCCTGCCTATGGGTTAGGATGATGCTTCTGCTCCTGTTCATCGAACACTGACTCTTCTGGGGTTGCGAAAGTGAGGCCAGAATCAGTCTTGCCTTTGGTGGGCTCTTTAGCCTGCTGCCATGAACAATAGTCACTTGAGAGTGAGGGATTGCAGTGCTGCTCGGCTCCGTGAAACCATATCACACCACAACAGTCGGAGAAAATTGGAGGGAACAAAATGCACTAGGACAAGAAACAAGGCTAGACACTTTTATTTTACTTTGTACAGTGCTACAGGATGATTCAGTGAAATATTAATCTTTCCTAATTCTCTATGTTCCAGGAGGCTGTCAGAACTGACTCTATAGATGGTATCAGTGCTGAATCCAAAGGCAACATGAACATTCAGTCAACTGACAGTCTTCAACTGAAAGTTTCACCTCAGCACATCTTGACGGCTCCATCACTGTTCCAGCCTTCACCAGTTTCTCCGAAAGTCACACCTCAAGCTTCACCACCATCACTCCAGTGTGGCAAGCAGACGAGCGTCCACACACACAGGCAGGTCTACAGCCAGCACAGCATCCCATGTCGCTCACCGAGCCACAGCAGTCACAGCACCAGTGTCGGGAGCATGCACTTTGACTCTGTGGACCCAGCCGATGAAGAAGTTCGGCACATCAACAACTCAGCGAAAATCTGGAGATCACAGTCAGAGGCGAGGAGTTTGACATCGCCATCTTTAATGTCCACAAACCTTGCAGCTGCTGCACTAAGGAACAGCACAACCAGCTTGTCTGGAGCTGGCATGGAAGTGGAATTGAAGAAATTTTATAGCGTTGATGCACATGGGTTTCTGGCCAAGCCTTCTTGGGGCGATGACCCGAGGAGGCATTCGATTGAAATCTGCCCTTCGATTGATGATGGCGATGCAAGCTTTCAGTTTGAGGACCCCTTCTCCACCGAGCAGGACCAGCAGCCTCCTATCTGCGTGCAGTCTGATTCCGAATACATTCTCTCTCCTCGGAGGAAAAAGAAGATGAGCCCGCCCTGCATCTCCATAGATCCCCCATTGGAGAATGAAGGTGGGCCTGCATCTCTCAGTGCAATGTCTGAGAGCAGCATGCACTTACGCAGGCGGACACCATCCTGTGAGTCAGGACCTTACAGGGATTCATTGGAACTTCTCGAGCTACAGCCTGGGGATCAGACCTCGAAATCAGAGAGAAGGGCGTCTCCTGCCTGTCGAAATGAGCACCTTACCATCCCAGACTTTTCATTCGACCAGTCAGACGCGAGCTCGTTAAGTAGTCTGTCTGACCTGTTATCTGACAGTAATCACTCCACCCCTTCATCCAGTGTCTCGGTGGATTCCAGGGCAGGCTCGGTGGCATCTGAACTGACAAAAGTGGACCTCTTAAACCCCAGTGACAATTCTGACGTTCACAGGCCGGAGGACAGTGCAGATTTACTGAAGGCCACCAGGAGCCCTCTGAGAAAAAGGGGTTTAATCCGCATGGCTAACACACGAGAAGATACAGACGAGCTCGTAGTATAGCTGAGACAGATAAAAGAGTTTGGAAACTGCAAAAAACAATTATCCAATGCGATGAACTACTGTAAAACAGAGGCTATTACTCTGTCTCGCAGTTCCTGCTGTTTGATCCCTTATCACTGTTTCATTGAGCTTGTAAAAAAGGGATGCAAAAAAANTGGGATATGCAAATGTTTTTGAATGGGACATGATTAGCTTCCCATAGCTCAATCACATTGATTCGAGTCAGGTTTATGTGTACTGGCACTTTATTGTGCAAAGCCTCAGTATGCAAAAGTGCAGAAAAGATGAGAACTATACATCGCTGTATGTTTTCAATGTACATACAAATAATTATGTATTAGTGACAAATAATTTAACTATGTCTTCATAATGCACATATTTTTATATAGAACTGTAATGTTTTGCACACTTAAAAATTGAATTCCAAGTTGAGTGGCGTTCCTGGTGTTTTTAGTGGAATGTATATAATTTAGAATTTTTACTTTGGGTTCTCCTTTTTTGCTTGCTCATACTAGTTGCATATTCTCAGTGTTTACTTTATTAATATAAACCCCTTTTAATGAATGCCAAACTACTACTGGGTTGTAGTCAGTGCAATAATAGAACTACTTAATTCAATCCCGATCTGATGGGTTTTTGTTTTGCGAAAGAAGTAATACATTTCAATCAGGTTAAACTGCAATGCATTTCTGAGACCATTGATGTTAAGGCATCTTAATACGTACATGTCAAACAAAAAAATAATTAAAGTTAAACTTAATCGGGGAAACTACTTGTTGAAATCAAATGCATTTTATTTACAGTTTGGTAGATTATTGATGGTATATGTAAAGTTACATGCAATTCCTGGTCAATGATGTTAAATCTAGCCTTTGCAAGCAAACCTGTTTATGTTTACTATAAGGCATCATGCAACCATGCAAGATATATCTGTAATTTCATTCCCAAATGCCTGTTTCTGTATTTATTTTTTATTTCTGGCTAATCTGGTTCACGCAAAATATGTTTAAAATGTCTGCTAGTGTAGAATAAATCAGCGCTTATGTCTTAATAAATAAAAATTCTGCTTTTTCATTGTACACTGTGGCTAATATCCTTATTGCAGGTTAAAAGAGAATCATCTTTAACTGCAAGACAAAGAATGTTTAGGTGAGACATTGTTTGGGTGTGTAATTGTAATTGTTCGTACACAGATCAGAATTTTGATTCTTCGTGAGAGGTCTTAAGTAACATTTTGACTATTTAGGTCACTGCAGAAAATTGGAATAAGAACTTTTATTTTCCTGAATTGATTTTTAAAAGATTATCTCCAAATGGGGAATGTGAGAACTGCTCCAGTGGAAGACTGCACTGAAGATAAGACAGTATTGCAAGGTTTGACTTGCATGTGGCATTAACTGGAAGAGTTTAGGAATCCACAGAAAACAATGATGTAATTGAAATTGTGCTAGAAAATCTATCCAACATCATGTCATATGAAGAGAACTGAAAGATTGTGAATCACCTGGTGTGTCATGTAGTACTGACCCATCCAGACCAGGAAGGTCCCAAGTTTGAAGAATTTGAAGACAAAATTGTCTCACGTGCTGAGCTGAGGTTTCACCGACCAAATATACAGTCAATTTACTTCACAATATATTCTTTGAAGCGCTTTGAGACAACTCAATGACATGATAAGGCACTATATCAAATGCAAGGATTTTATCAAGGTTGATTTTCTGGCCCATAATCTATGACAGTGTAATGAAGCAACACAGTTATAGTGCAAACAGTCTGAAATTGTCTAATTGCAGTACTGATACAGGTTAATGTTCTTTCTGCCCTCAATCTATTCCAGGTTATGACCTGATCAATAGCATTGCCTGAGTGGAGGCAGCAGGCAGGTTGATAGGTACTTAGAAGGTTGCAGAGGTAGGGGGGAACAAGGCCATGGAGGGCTTTGAAGGTGAAGACCAGCATCTTGAACTGTATCCTCTGTGTGATGGGAAGCTAGTTGAGGGTCAAACAAGATCCCAAGGTTCCGGACTGGCTCAGTGAGGTGGAGTGTGCAACCATGGATGGTGATGCTGTCAGCGCCTGAGGTGAGGAGGCGCTGACGGGAGCCAATCAGGAGAGCCTCGGTCTTGTTGATGTTCAACTGTAGAAAGTTGCTCTCATCCAGGACTTGATGTCTGACAGATATTCTGTCAGCACAGCAGTGGTCTTGGAGTCAAGGGTGGAGGCAGAGATGTAGAGTTGGGTGTCATCCGTGTACATGTGGAAGTTGACCCCATGTCTGCGGATGATGTCACCAAGCGGGAGCATATAGATATTGAAGAGGAGGGACCAATGACAGCCCTGAGGAACACCGCATGAGATAGTCCGGGGACTAGAGGAGAAGTATTGGTGGAGATGAAGTGGAGACGGTGTGAGAGGTACGATCTGAACCATTCAAGGACAGAACCATGAAGGTGAGAGGAGAGGGGGTGAAGGAGGATAGAGTGGTTAATGGTATCGAAGGCGGCAGAGAGTTCAAGGAGGGCGAGGAGGCAGAGGGAGCCCTTGTCACAGATTGTCAGAACGTCATTTATCTCTTTGACCAAAGATGTTTCTGTGCTGTGGGCGGCACTGAAACCTGATTGGAGAGCATAAATGATTTGTACTCATCCACCATAGAACCTTAATATGATTTCAAGGCCTATTCCTGAGTGCTCCTTAACGCTTCACATTCTGAATTACTCTGCAAACTTGTATAGAAGTAGTCAGACTCTTAGGGAGTGTTCAGCAAAAGGAAAGACTGCCTCAATCCCTCCTATAAACATAGATGTGAAGTGTCTGGAAACATTTAAAAGCATATAAGCAAGAAGGTTGAGAAGAAACACTTTTACTCCGTGAGATTTAAATTAATGGGTGTGTTGTGCGAGAGAAAAAGACAAGTTTAGCTCTTGAAGAGTGAGTGTCTAACAATGCAATACAAAATGACATTACTATAGCGCCTTTCACATCAACCCAGTATCTCCTGGCCTGCATTAGCTCACACTGCAACCTGCAGGAAAGCACTCACATGACTGGAGAGTCTGGGGCTGTTAGCAGTGGTTTGTAAATGACAGCACCTGCGCTCAAGCCAATAAGGCTTAAGATAACCATATGGCCGGAGGGCACTGGTGTAGGGCTATGAAAGGCCAGTTTAGATCAGATGTCAGAGACTTTTTTTGTACAGAGTGTAATCGACAGATGAAACAGCTGAGCAGGGTGGGTGGTTGAGGTCAGGATAGTGGACTCAGTTATAAAATGAAGTAACAGCTGTTATTAACATAAAGAATGCAGAGTTGGTATTGGATGGATGAGATCAAAAGTCTAAACACCACCTTTGTTCAAACCATTTTGTGAAATTATTTTGAGCAAAACTGGTCCTAGGTTGGAAAGCAGAAGTGAAAAGATCTCTTTCCAATATCCCAGGGCTAACTTTATGTTTTCTTCATTTACCCACAAATTGAATTGATCTTGAAAGTGAATGGTGGTAATATTTTTCCTTTGGGAGGTCTCTGAAATGGAGCTTTATTCTGATTGTCCGCTTATTCCACTTGCTGTCACCAGAAAAGTGAACCAAATTACATTTTGAAATGTTTAATGAAGGGTAATCGTGCCAGAGAACAGTTTTTATTTTATGTTACACGGTTTGACAGTACAAAGCATTCACATGAGGTTATTCTGTGGCATGCTGTCTGTGTGACAATGTTGTGCAAATTGCTTGCCAGGTTCACCTACCGAATACACACTGATGCTTCTCAGTAAAAAATCCTGCAAAATGCTTTGCAGCATTTCAATGATGTGATAAAATGCGATATTAGAAGCAATGATTATTAACTGTTATAATAATAATGTGGTCTAGCTGGATTTCTATTAGAATTTTTGTATTCTTTTATGTTTTCATAATGGTTGGATTATCCCTCCTGTCAGATCCCTACTGTCTTCACTATTGAGACCTGGCTTCCTCAGAAAGGTTTAATTCGCTGCCTTGAATCATCAGCTGCTGTGTTAAAAGCATAATGTTGAGGAATAAAGTTTGAATGTTTCCCATTTTGTAGCTGTATTCCTGTCTCTAAATTAAAATTGATCCCTCAACGGAAGAACTATTGACTCGAATGGTTGTGAACATGCCAATGTTTGCTGGTTAACCTTTATTTATTGCTGAAGTCATACATTGTGTTTTCTAGATTTCTGAGTGACAATTCTTTCCATTTCTAACACCAGTTCAATTCTACTGCAACATTTTTCTCTGTAGCGTTCAGTCAGACACTCATTTCTTGTTGTTTGTATCCTTTGTAACCACATACAAAAGGCTTCCTTTGTTAGACTTTCATGTTTTATGGGTTTAGTTTCCACATATTCCTTGGTTTCTTTTATGTTCTGCTGAATTATGAACATGTATCTCCTGAACTGTCAATTTTGCAAACATTGTTGGCTAGAGCCTTGGCTCAGTTCTTTATAAATTTTAACCAGTGCATTTTTTTGTGACATTCCGTGCGTGGATTTTCATAAACACAATTGTTCTAAAATCAAACATTTTGTAACAATACATAATCCATTTCATTGCTGGAAGACTGAAAAGCGTATCATAGTCTGTGTTGCTGAGTCCTCGAGATGACTCCTGTGAGATGCAGTTTTTGCAGGCTCGGCAATTCCTTTTATGGGCACAACAAAAATGCGCTGAGTGCTTTAACTTTCAACAGCTGCTTCCCTTTCATCCTCATGTGCTAATCGAATGTTCCCATAGCAACTGAAATGGTCCCTGCTGTCACAGCTCTAACAATGATGGCAAATCAATTTTCCCTGTTGCTGCTTTGAAGAGAAGTTGAATGTTTCATGATGTCATGATGGTGTGACCTGTTCTTGTCGCTGTTTTCCTACCCATTAATCTGCTTATATAAATCATAAGACAAATCATAACTGCAAAATTGTTGTTTGTGGCGCTTGCAATATAATAACAGTAATAATTCTTGCATTTGATATCGTGCCTTATTATCTCGTTGAAATTTCCCAAAACACTTCACACAATTTGTTGAAAAATGTAGTGAACCTTGGCACTATCATGCTTTATAAAAAGATAAGAAGAGACTACTTTTCGATGGATGTAAATAAATCTGTTGTGATCTTGCACTAGAAAATTACCTGTATAAACTGGAAATTATAACTGAATGGGCAATCATAATTATTTTAATTATTGTAATTGTTCAGTGCCAATCTTAATACTTTTATTTCCTACTGGGGGAAAAACACTCGGGGTGGTCAAATGAGACATGTGCCATCTAGAGCCTCAGTCTGCCTCTCAGCACCTGCTCTGTTAATTATTTGCCATTTAAGAATTAGGTACCAGCTGGAGGTTCAATGGGTATCAGAAATGTTTGCAGGGATTCATTACTGTATAATGAGTCGCCTAAGAAATGCACAATAAAGCAAAATATAAGGACGTTTAACAGAAGGATTTGATGGAAGCTATTAGGACAACACTCTTCAGCCATCCTAAAAGTTGTAGATAAAGGATTACATTTAACCAAAAAAAACACAGTAACTACACGTTACTATATAGCCTGTGAAGGATTTTGAGACGTCGTCCTGACATAACAGGGCCAAATCAAAGATTATTATTATTATATTACTATTATTACTGAGTAAAGCATAGTTATATGATAGAGCTACAGAATAGACTTTTTACATTATTACGTTGTTGAGACATCCGAAAGCCTTCACAGGATATACTGTAAAGCAAATTGACTCTTATTTTGTGGGTGAAATACTTTTGGATTGTTGAGATCCTTAAAGTCTGGAGGATTGTGCATTATGGTAAAGACCAAAAATTATCAGCACTTGGAACAGTAAGCAGCGTGCTCGCCTCAGCTGATAATAGTTCATATCTGCATTAACGTTTGAATTTCTTGTGAATCAACGTTCATCTTATAGGCTCAAACCAGGGCTGAGAAATAAGATCCAGTAAAATGATTTGATCTTGCAGTAATGATTCAGAAAGATGTTCCAGTGGAAGATTTGCTTTAATCATCTTTTGAGATGAAAAGGGTCTTGCAACCAATAATGTAAGTAG